TTTATCATTTAGATCAGGGGTGACAAACTGCCGGCCCGTGGGCCGGTTTCATCATACTGGAGCCGCGCCCACCCCATTGCCGGCAATAGCGAAAAAGCTCCGATACGTTGTGCAACGTCACGTGACATGAGTTTGACATGTCTGATTTAGATGGATTGATTATATGTCATTGTCTTCCACTTCTGGCATTACAGACATTACAGTTTTCCTTTGATCAAGTACCTGATGATGCACTGGAATAATAATCAAAAATTTTTATGCTTATGCAGACATAACCAACAATTATTTGGATCCTGACCATAAAATTAGGAGTCAAACCATTAGGTCCTATATTATTGCACATATTTGAATTCCAGATTAAATAAATGTATAATAGGCCAATAAAAAGAAATCAAAAATGAACAGATAATGAAATTTCATGAAATCTCATGCTTGCCACATAGTGTCTATTGTAAATTGCATGCATTAAGGGGGTACACATATTTAATGTTTTTTTAAATTTGGTTGGTTGAAAGAAGATAAATTCAAAAAAGAATAACCCATACATGTGATAATAGTCTTTTATATACTATATTGGTCATACTAAAAAGTAACTTTCTGCCTGCTGAGAATTCAGTGCTGCTGTGTTATTTAAATATCAACTTAAATTTATGGACTATTTCTGTTGGAAATCTATTCATGTCTCAAGCAGTTTTCTGCTGGGTTGTGATTAGAAAAATGATTGCCTTGCAACCCAGCATGCTTTATTTGGGTCAAATGAGAGCGACTAATGGATAATTTTATCAAGAGCATTGTACAGAAGCAGGAAGAAGCTGAGTTGACATAGTCTATTAAGTCCCTGACTTCAGTGAAATGTAGCAGTATACCCAAGTAACCCTGCTTTTCTTGATCCTAACCATGTTTTTTCCCCAAATAAAATAATTAGAAATGTGCATCAAATTTAGCTGAATTCAGAATCTAAAATCCAGCAGTTTTAGAAAGATTTGAAATGTCCAAACAAAAATGGACATGCAGCTTTAATTTCTAACCACTTTAAATGGATTTACCAGAACTCATCAATCCCTGTGCTCAAAGATGGTGAACCAATATATTGCAAGGAAGTGCCAGTTTTTCATCCTGTGTAATTCTGTCTTCCTGGGGCAGAACTGATCTATGGGATCTGGGATGAGATTAACATTGGATGCTTTCTTGAAAAATGCTGGATATTCAACTGATCAGTGACAACATAAAAAAAAATTAAGTGTTTGTGTTAATTATTATTCCCAGGTCCATATTTTTGTCATAAAAATTGGTGGTGAATATAACTTTTGTATGAATTGCCAAAATACAAGGGCTGTTAGGAAATAAACCTCCATTTAGTTATCAATGACAGACACAGATACAGAACTTTTATTATACACATTAGAAAACTACACCAACACTACACCGGAAGTGGTGTCATAGAAAATTCCACCAAATGTGAAGATGCCAAAGGTGTACTGCTAGTGAAGTTCATGGAGCATAGTTCGACCATCAATTCAGAAGTCTACTGTGAAACATTACGAAAACTCAGACGAGCCATCCATAATAAGCCTTAGGGCATGCTGATTTCCGGTGTGGTGTTGGTTCATGATAATGCTCGCCCGCACACCACTAGACACACCCAAGAACTTTCGAAGCAGTTCTTTTGGGGTGTTTTTGATCAACCCCCCCTATAGTCCAGAGTTGGCGCTGAGCGACTGCTACTAAGACGTTATGACAAGTGCCTCAATTTGAATGGCGATTATGTCAAAAAGTAAGGTAATGTAGTTTTCTAATGTGTATAACAAAACTTCTGTATGTGCGAGTATCTGTCATTGATAACCAAACAGAGATTTATTTCTGAATTGCCCTCATATCTATGGATGAGGAGAAGAGGGGGAAACAACTTTTTTCCCTCTCAGATATGAAGCCTTCTTTTTCCCAAAGTTACTTAAGTAATCTATCTGAACTTTTGCAAAAATAATAAAAAGTTGATGTAATCCCTACCATTTCTTCATTTTATATTATGAAATATTATTATGAGTCCACAGCCCTCCCTCATGGACTCATTTGAAATTTGACAGGGTTATTTCTTGGAAAGGGACAGACATCTACAGAAATAATTTAAATTTGTCAAAGAACAACAATAATAAAGGACTATTATTTCCTTTTAAAAAAAATTACATTAAGAAGTATTTGGTGGAAAGATTAAAGACTGTGAAAGGTTACAATGCCAGTAGTTTTCATTAAATTCTTTTGAGGAGAAAACATCGCATAAGTGTAATGCAAGGAACAGGCCAAGGATAAGAGGAAAACAATACCAAACTGTGTAGTTTTCTGCTGGTCTCTTTTGCTTTTATTTTTGTTTTTCCAAGAAGAATCTTCTCCAGAAACTCTCTATTTCCACATTAGGTATCTAAAATACACAAACTTTGGTGTTAATTTTTATTAGTGTTTCCCATGTGCTCTCTGGTTTTATTTCAAGGAATATTGAATTATTTGTTCTTCTTGCTGTTCAAGGCATTCTCAACAGTCTTCACCACCACCAGGCAAAGGCATTGATTCCCCCCCCCCCAGCTTTTCTGATGATTTTTTTCTCTTTTTCCACTCTTGTTTTCATAGTCATGTATTATATGTAGAAAATACATGGTCTTGGTATTATATATCTTGGAGTCTTATATCTTTGGCATTGGGATTGTTTCTATATTTTCATTCTTTTCCAAGACTTGTCATTTTTCCCCCATGAAGTAAACTTCTGTACATTATTGCATAGTTACAGTAATAAACTTTTAGAATAAAAGCTTGTTCCTACTTGTTCCTATTGAAATTCTACTTCTATTTGCATTGGATTGGACTGGCATCAGCAATTGATAAAGTTTAGTTATTGTTTCTCTTAAGTATTGACTTGGTTCTTATATAACTTTAAGATATAACCTGTGATTTACAAATCACAGTGGCCAGTTTCATACACTGCACTAAATCAAATCCACAGTGCTTTAATTCAGTATATAAACCATCAGAATAAAGCACATTTGCCAAAGCCCATAATGCAAAAAGCAAGTCATATGTAACTATTTTTGACCTTCCTTGTTTCTCTTAAATTAAAAAATAACTGCCTCCCAAATTGTTTAGAGGCTGTCCAGCAAAGTTTCTGGGAATTAATTTCTAAATGTAAATCATAACAAGAATCCTGATAGACAATATATAAATAAAAATTAGTATTGAATTTGGTTCTTATGTAACATTTAGATACAATGATTTACATGATTTACAAGTCACAGTGCCAGTTTCATGCACTGCACCATACCAAATGGAAATGACCTCACAATATTTAGAAACTTAATTTCTGTATAGTATTTGCAATCTGATTCTGTAAGAAGCAGAATTAACAGTTTGATTTTGGCAGCGGATGTCTGCTGCCCCCTGCTGTTCAGCCAATTATGAAAATAAATTCATAGAAAATACTTATTTTGGGATGAGACATAAATTTGGGTAGAGTCATTTTAGTGACCAAAATTATATTGGGTAAGACTACTATTCTCCATAAGTGTGATGATGGTTCTTAATCTGTTATGTACTTTTCAAGAAAAAATGGCTTCCTTAGATTTTGCATATTTCTTACTTGAAGAAATAGAAATTATAAATACCTTTAATGATTTACCCCCATGGAACAAAATCCTATCATAGTTAAAATGATGCTGATTAGGAGAAGAATTGATTAATAAACAGGTAACACCATCATCTATAACTTCATGCCCTCCCCTCCTTAAAAGCTCTGAAAAAGAGACATCAATTATTCATACAATGGCAAATGTAAAAGAAGGGAAACAAACATAAGACCTGTAACCTGGATTAAATCAAACTAATATTAAATGTATAGTTATAAATGAGACATGTCCTTCTAGTTTTGTAAACTACAAGAGGACCAAATATAATAAATGACAACTAAGACAGTGATCTATACGTAGCTTATCCATCCTAATGGGGAACTAACAACAAATAGAACAATAATTGACTAGGTGTGTATCCCTACTGCCATAATAGGAACATTTTAAAACACAAGTGTTATTCCACAGATTCCAATATATTGGCTTTGAAGATAATAGTATGTTGAAAATACAGAATTAAGGCAGGACACCTCTAACTAAAGTTCAGTTCACCAATAACATAGCTGTTGGTTTGATATGGGATGTAGAACAGCACCTTGCCTGGATAGGAATTTGTGCCCCACGAGTAATTATGCAATTTCCTAGGAAGAAAATTGTATATAAAAACACAAGAAGACATTATATCAAATGTCTCTTTGGCATTCTTGCCTAACACCATAGATTCTAAAGACTCAACATTATTCTGGAAAGTGATAAATGTCAATTTGAATGAGGATAAGAACAATGCAGAGCTTTGAGTGACCAAAAAGGAACGGCTGATCCATTTATATTAGATAGTTCCCCATCCTACCGCACTCCAGTTAATTCTCCAATTAATCTAAAACATTGTGGCCCCCTGGCTCTTTAAAAGAAATTGAATATCTGATCCTGGCATTGCCATTAGGCAAAGATCCCGAGAAGAATATGTCTCTTGTTATTAAAAGGAATTATTGTCTCATAGAAACCTGTTTTGGCTAAGCTACTTAATAGCATTAATTCTTCTGGCCTACTTTTCTAAGACTGGAATTCAAGCATAGTGATTCCAATATACAAAAATGTTTGCTACCCATATTTAATGGTTATTAATTAGTATTATCACACATTAGCACACTTTCACCACCTAAGTGAAGACCTAAAACTGGGAAATAATTTTTACCTTCTCTCATCCATCCTAGAAACAAGGTCTGTTTTAGCTCATTATTTAATATTCTGATTATGTTCTGCTTTGACCCACTTTCTTAAAACTAAGCCATTCTTAGTGTGGATTGATGAATTCCTTCTGTTTCAATTGGTTGAGAATTATGCCAATATATATGCCTGGGTTCTGATTGGATGGAAATTTAATGGGGAAAAGGTGTTAATAGCTCCTCCCCAGAAGACATTGTGCTCTACAGTGAAAGAAGAAGTCAGTCTGAGGAGATTTTGATTGGCTGAAGAAGGCAGTGACCCATCCTGTTTTCCCTTTCCCATGTAGGGCATTTAAGCCTGAGGTAAACATAGCATGGAGGAAGTTTCCTGTTTTCTTAATAACTAGATGCTGCTAAATATGAATCTTCATTAGTCTTTGGCACAAAGACACTCTGGAGGAAAAACAAATTAAAACAAACATAACACAGGCCTAATTTGACCATTTCAAGCCCTTTACTGTGACAAATATCTTTATTATTTTGGGAAGGCCGCCATTTTAATGTGTATTTTTAGCAAGGAAAAATTATGAAATTATTTCTGCCTCTTTTAGCACTCCTATTTTCTACAGGGTGAATACTAGATACAAAGAGAATATTTTTCTCTTTAAAATATTAGGGAGAGCTTGTTATTTTAATCTCCTTAAGATGTTTCAGGTAGGGGAAATTCTAGGCTGTCATTACTTATAAGTAATACTAAATACTTACACAGATTAGTGCCTGTGCCTATGTGTGTTAAGCCATTTTTTGAAATAATCTATGCATTTGGGAACAAAGAATATCAAGAAGCAGCAAGCTGCATCCACAGAGGCCCTCACAATCTTGAAAGATACAAGTTAATACATATTACAGTTTCATCAGTTTTTTTTTTTAAAAAAATAACCAGTTACTAACCCCAACACTCTGAAACACATTTGAAAAGGCAAACAATAGCTACAGCTGAATTCTTTTTCCAAGTGGCGTTTTCAAATCAGCAGTCATAAAAATGGTACAGGCTAAGATTCATTTTTTTATTAATCCTATAATAATACATTACTTTATAGTGTATTTGCATGATAGATTCCATGCAAATGCACTCTCCTCACACTTTTTTATTGCTAAAGGGTTCAAAAGGCAATGGAGCTAAAAAGATGATGAATAAAACAAATACTCACTGAGATTGTCTTGTTTCATGCTTCTGGGGTTTAGTTGGAATAGAACAAATAAGTATTCTGCAATAAAGGCAAGGTTTTACTTTGGAGAGTGCATTTCTGACTTAGTAATATCATTTTAATATTGATTAAATATGTTGATAGCCTTCTTGCTATCTTTTTGCTTGTGCCAACCTTCTAATTTTTTAAAATTAATGTTAACACCGTCTTTTAGAGAACCATCTTTTAGAAAATTAGTAAACTACAATTCCCAGTACTTTTAATTCTACAAGATGTCAGGGAAGTTACCTGTTCTCTATTCTGAAATCAAGGTACAGAAAAGTTTACTCCAGTATGAAAGACCTCAAATTAGCAAAAAGAAGAGAGAGAGAGAGAGAGAGAGAGAGAGAGAGAGAGAGAGAGAGAGAGAGAGAGTATGTAAAGAAAAATTTATATTTTTTACTGGATAAGAAACATCTATTTTTCATGTTTATATTCTGCAGCTTTCAGTTACCTAGTGGTTCAATTCTATTGGCAGGAAATGAGGTAAGCAAGACACCATGGTGTGAATTCATTTGAATCTAGATAAAATATTCCTAAATACTTATCATTTTCATATGTCTTCTTAGAAATTAAGCCATAAGGAAGTAATTCAGGAACAGAATTAGTAGTATTACATACTATGAATCTAGGCTTTTCTTGTCATAAAGACAAGAGTTTAGTCTTTAATTATTAATCATGTTCTTTAAATACATATGGCTGTATTCCCATAATATAATATGCCAAAAAACAGAACAGTTAACAAACAGTCATGCTGCCTGTTATTTGTTTGTTGGGTTTTTTCTTTTTTATGGTATTTGGCTCTGAAGTTCTGCTTCTCAGTCTTAGGCTTATTTTGTCATCCAGATTTAAAGCAAACAACATTCTGAGTTACGAGAATCAAAGTTACACTTTTTGGTATGAGTCTGGATGACATTGAAAATTTAAAAGATTTGTAGCCATTGTAACAGAAAATAAGTTGACAGAGAACATGTGTTGCTTTTGGTTTATTATTCATGCCGGTGTAGCCTATATAATAATTACTATTTCTTATTAAATTGATGTTACAGTTATTAAATTTTCCTTATGGGTATATTGAAATCAGTATTTATATTTAAATTAACAGTTTTTAAGACAACACATATGCTTTATAATCTATATTTAATCTTAGTTTTAAAAAAAGATTTGTAGAAAGTGCAGGGCAAAGTTCTTTCCCAGTATGGTGTTGCCCAAATATATTGAGTGGGAATTCTGAAAACTGCAGTCCTGAGCTGTCCAGGGAAATTAAATTGGGTAAAATTAGGAGAGGAAACGCATATAGACAACAAAGTTAGTTGGCTTGCTCACTTTTTTCATGTCAGTAACAACCTACATAAGGACATAAAAATTATGCATTATTAAAATTTAAATTTCATCTTGTAAAATTTGTTCTTATTTGAATGATTTACAATGATTATGCATTTTGTCCAAAAATATAATCATATAGACTTACCACCACCAAGAACATGGGTAATTTTGTTTTTAATTTAGAATAGGTAATTGAATTGCAAATTAGCATATATCAAGATAGCATTGATAATATTAGTGGTGTCATCCATTGTCCAAACTTATAATTATGCCAATTAATAACTGTTGATTTGATCAATACAATTAGCTTAAGTTACTCAATGACTTTTTATATGTAGTAACGTTTTAAAATATGAAATACTGTGGTAACTTGCAGAAATGAGACCAATACAATGTATATATAAAATTCAATTATATTGTACTTTATGTAGCAAAAATATGGAAAAGATATAACATTTACTCATAGTATATGAATAAAGATATAACATGTATGCGTAGTATATTTTTCATTATATCCTTTCTAGAACTTTAATTTTAACCAAGAAATTATTTTTATTTTAACAGGTAATTTCATTGAGGAAAATGAAACATAACCAGAGTTACTATCGAACACCTCCCACTATTACCATTCATTTAAAGCCAAATGAATCTAAATCATATCAGCAAAAAAAGACACTTGCCCTTAAGCGCCCTAAATTTAAAGACTGCCGGGAGACCTTTGGGAAAAACATTAATCATAATATTAAGCCAAAACAGTCAAAAGGTTCATGTCTAATTATTCAGCGTCAGGAAATGACAGCTTTCTTTAAACTATTTGGTAGGTTTTTTTGTATTCACTAATAGAATTTTATATCTATGTATACACATGCACATATGCATATAGTATATAGTTTTATACATACTTACATGCTATCAGGTCATTTATACAGACTTATATGCAAACAGATATGTAATATTTCATATTTCAATAAAATATACAAACTGATTGTATGTACATGAGAGGTAACTCAGAAACCTAAACTTAAACAAAAACATTAGGATTTTATCCTCATGGGAACCAAAATATAAATAAAAATCTCCTGTTCTTACAGAATTCAATGATAGTAATGACTGTTTCTTCGGCCTTCATACAGGTCAAAGTTAGAAATTAGATAAGGCTCATAAATTTATATATTATACAGAAGTTACTGTTTTGCATTCATACCATTTTCCCCCTTGGTTTTGATTATCTTTAGAGACAACATCCTTTTTTCCCCAAAATAGCTGGAGGCTTTATACTCAAAATCAAAAATTATATATTAAAAAATACAATTTTATTGTTAAAAGGGTGATTCAAAGAGATTATAATTAGTTTGTCAGCGCTGCCTTATTTTACAGATGATGATTTGATACAAGATTTCTTGTGGATGGACTGTTGCTGTAAAATTGCAGACAAGGTAGGCTTATTGCTTTTAAGTCAGTATAACTTTAAAAATCAGAGGATTTATATTCTGTTGTCATCTATCAAACCTTATAGTTTCATGCTAATTTCAACTTAATAATTCAATTATTGTTTGAAATAACATAAAATTTAAAATATTGTGATTAGAAGTGATTGACTCCCACAGATAAACATTTTAATAATACAAATCAACATTTTATGAATCTAAATAAAAATAATTTATTCATAAACTCTTATTGAGATATAAATGAGAATGTGGAACTAATTCTTAATACGTACATACTGGACATTAAAGGTGTGAAAAAATATTTATTCAAAACCCAGCTGTAGGCATTAAAATAATTTTAACTGATATTAAAATGCTGCAATGAATAAATTCATAAAATATTATTGAAAGAGTTGAGTTCTGCTACATGACTCTGTTAGGGCTTAGAAAACAACAAATAACTTGAGGGCAGTGGCTGTAGGTATTGGTGCCCAATACAGTATCACAGGATTATGCAGAAAGTGGCACACTGCATAGCATACTAACAATTTATGTGAAGGCTATTTTGTAATTAGCAGCACTTTACTCTGCAGCATAGGGCCATTAGCTGCAATTTAGTGCAGCCCATTTTTCTCTATATCAGTTTTACATCACTTTCTGTTTTCTAAATTTCCACTATAACTGAAAATTACTGATCCTTAATCTGTTGGTTAGCAGCAATATGTCTGGCCCTGCTTTATGTCTTATTAATGAAGTTAAGACAGTGAAAACATGAGACAAGTTTCTATGGCAGAATATGAGTGAAAAACCCAATGGGAGGTGTGATTTACTTGAATTTTAAAACCATTCTGTGCTTGACAATTAATTATAAATAATGATATTTTTTTTGGGTTGATATTTTTTTTTCTGTTGATTTTATCAAATGACCATTTTGTCATTTTTAGGCCAAAGGAAAAAAAGGAACATTAATATTTTACTTTCTTTCAACAGTATCTTTTGGCAATGACTTTTGTTTATTTCAAGAGGGCTGGCTATAGTATAAACGAACACACCCGGCTTAATTTCTTTGTTGCTCTGTAAGTAACTCTAAACTTTATGGTTGTGATTAAAGTGCAAGAGACAGCATCTATCATTTGAGAGAAGAGTAGTTAGAATAAAGCCTTGCTTGCTCCAACAAATAAATATTTATATTTATAAATTTGTGTTCTTTATAATTAAATTTAGAATATTTACATCTTGAAGCACTTTAGGACTAGTATACTGACAGAAATTTAATTTCTAAAATGGTGTATAAACCCAACTAGCTTGTCAAAACTAAGTAGAAGAGTGACTGATTTCTGCAGATTTCTAATATTTTAAAATGAAAGTTAAGAATGGAAATATTTATATTTTATGTAAAAAAAACCCAAAATATATAGTTGTGTTGTGTAACCTTGTTTTGGAAAGAAAGACTAAGGATAGTAGAGCCCTATTTATAATTCTTTACCAAAATGATTACCTAACATTCAATTTCTTTTTCAATGTATATTTTTGGAGTTCTCCGTTTAAATGAGGTGCTTAAACTTTCTGATTTGAATAGGCTTCACATTTCACCTTAAATATAAGGCAAAAATTTCATTTAATCTAATTTTCTAAATCTTTAGGTGACTTCTTCAATCACTATACTGGGAAAAATTAATAAATGTTTACAATTTAAAAACAACCTTAATGAAAATTGTTCATAATCTAAAACTAGAGACTACTAAGTCTTAGGAAAATAAGTACATTAAGCAATTATATATTTAAAAACTCAATATTTGGACTAAATAGTATTTTTGCTCAGTTTGCTTCAGTCTAAGTGAAAAGCTATGAAGTGAGATTTTAGCAGTAATTATAAGCATTCTTAGACTGCTGTTGGGTAGGCAAGACTCATGACTGTGTTATGGGATTTGCTTTACCCTAATTGATTAAATACAAACAATTGCTGATGTTCATGCATGATACTAAATCAAGATATGATATAAAACTTTTAAAGTGATAATTTCCCTTTATTAAGTAACAAATCTTAATTATTAATCCATCCAAACCTGGCTGGGCTGGAAGATTCCATGCCTGTATTTCTCTCATCTGCACAAATGAATAGCACAAGGGGGTTGTATAGCCACCATAAAATGAGAAAGTTGAAGCCATCTTTAAGTTGTCCACAGTAAAGCAAACTGTTGATTTGATGGCAAAACAGTGCTTTATTAACCTCAGGAAAAAAAAAATCTACCCTCTTCTGGAAACTCTTGAAAATTACTGAGAAGCTAAGTAAGCTTTATTCTTCTCTCTAATAGTTCAACTCCTTTAAAGAGAATGATCCAAATAACTTTATTAGACTTTATTAGACATTCAGAAAAGTGTGTGTGTGTGTGTGTGTCTATGTGTGCATACAAACACTCATAAAACAAAACAGTCAAGAAAAAGGGATAAAACATAAAATACAGAAGAATCAATAAATAATGCAAAAATGCCTTGGACCTTATAGTTTCTAATATGTCATTTATTATAAATAAATATATTTGTGGATTTATTCACTTATATATTTCTATGTATTTACTCACTTGGCTGCAACAAATGAAAGATACTCATTCATGTCTGATCAGATGGTATCTGATTCTACAACCATATCAATGTAATACTGTACATCGAGGGACAAGAAAACTTCATAACTGACATTATCTCTGTATGGTAAAGATGTTGAGATTATACTAACCTCATGAAAAGAAAAAAAAGACTATTGATTTTTTTCCTTTCAAAGAGATGAGGTATGTGGACAAGTAAGCTGTTTGAAAGAATTGCAGGCACCTCTACTGCTTTCTTTCCTTCCCAATTTAGGCTCTATTTTGACACTGTCGCTTTATGTTGGCTAGTTTGTTTTTTGGCTCCGCAGTCACAATTCAGTGATGATATTTTGTCCCACTAATAGAGGGGATCAGCACATTTACCATGATCAGTGCAAATTCAGTTCAGTGTTGTCCATATTGCATGGGGTTGGTCAAATCCAGGAGCTTTTTTCAAGATACAAGGCAAACTTCAACATGGGGGGGGGGGCATTTTCTATTCAATCTTCTGCCTACATATTGTGTATATCAAAATCATCTTCTACAAGTATTTTAGCAGTAGAAATAGCTGGATGTCTGGATCTCAACCTATTTTGCTCCAGGCAGGCTATATTATTTAGTATTGGCAGTTGGGAGTTATCAATACTCTTCAAGTTTTCTTGGAGGGGGGCATCTTTTTGTCTTACTCCTGGGGGTAGTATAAGGCTCAAAACAGGTAGCCAATATGTGGGAGTACTTCATATTGTCCACTAACAATGTGCATTGACTCATGCACTGTGCATCAATCCTATTTGTGTGTGTGGGCTATTTAGCCATACTGTGGTACAATACTCTGCTGCTGAATAAACTGAGCTGAGCACAGGATGACTGTTTATGTCTGTGACATTCCTTAAGTCAAACGTGTCCCCTGGGTGGTGCTAAAGAACAGTCACTTCAAGACAAAACATCATAAGCCTCGAAGATATGGCAGTCAGTTAATCCTAGTGATCTCTTGGCTATATCACATTACATCGTAGTATGCTGTTGAAACAAAATCTGTGAATATATAAAGAAAGACAGTTGGGAGAACTTTTAAATCAAGTATGATGCAAAAAGATGCAGCCTCTTTATTGATTCAAAGAAGCCCTTCCTGAAAGTTGAGAAGCATCTATCTAAGAATTTGAACAGCTCTGTATAATAATATATTGTATCAATTATAGTATATAATAAATGTAGAGTATAAATTATATAAACTGTTTTATATTGTATGCAACATTATCCTGATAAGTGAATAAAATAAGCAAAATTCTAAATTGATCAGTATTTTAAGACAACTATCAAATTTAATACTTTATAACAATTGTTTCATTGAATTTTGCCAAGTTTCTGCTGTATCTATAGATAAATAAACATGTTTTATTAGGGTAAATAAAATTCAGTGCCAAGTAAACTAGCACTATCTCCTCCTTCCCCTGCAACTGGTTCTGGTCAATGCTGGAGGGACAAATCTAGCCATTGGTCCTTTTTATGAAGGGTGCCTAAGGGTTATAGGTAAAGCTACTGGGTGAGGTCATTAATCAGCAGGGAGTGTAGTATCATAAGTATGTTGATGATATCCAGATGTACATCTTTACTGCAGGCTGAATTAGTGATGTGCTTGAGGTGCCTGGAGATCGTGAGTGTCCAGAGGGGTTGCTGTGAGAGTCTGGAAAAAGGGCTATACCAAAACCTATCGAAATGGAGTGGCATTTTTAAATTTAATTTTTTATTTTTAAAATAGTAACAGAAAAAGAAAAGAAACAAAACACAAGTATTATAATGATGGGTACATTCTCAAAGGAAAAAATGTATGAAAGATGCTTTAAAAAGGTAAAAAATACAAAAAGAAAAAAAGAAAAAAGGAAAAAAATATATAATTAGAAAAGATAACAGGTACAATTCTATATGTACGTAATGTAAATACAATTCAAGTGCATATATATTTCTTTATTTCTTGTATATTTATATTATTATTCTTTTTCAATATATTATATTTTGTATAAAACTCCATATTCCATTATACTTGTCCATATAAAGTTCACATCTATAATCTTCTCATAGGTGAGAAGTGTAATTAGTTCTTCAATCCTATGAATAAAGGGGACCATATATTTATTTTTTCAGTGCTGCAATATCAATTTTTTAGCCATAATAAGTGTTGTGTCCTGGGCCTGCTGAATGACTCAGCAGGCTCAGGAAGCTGCAGAAGGGCCCGGGCAGACCACGTGGTTGCCCGGGATCAGACAGGCTGTCTCCAGCCTTGTGCACATGCGCAAGGTGGGAGAATGCCGTGGAATGATTGGCTGATGCTGTCCCTGCCAAGGGACTATAAAAGGGCCTGCACCATTTTTGTTCTTGGTTCTGTTGGTGAATTGCAATAAAGGAAGACTATTTTTTGTTACTCCGCTTTGTCTCCATGCCTCATCTGTGGAAACAGAACAGTAAGGGCACAGTGAATTCATTTAGGTTGTCCAGTTATCAAATTCCATGTGACAGATATATAACTGAAGTGAATTTTATCCTCTGAAAATGTTTGCTTTTGTTACACAATCATATTTATGTAATCCACTACTTTCTCCCAAAATCCTGAAGCCCTACTCACCATTACTCATTCCCTGGACACCTCTTGATTTTACTATTGCAATGCAAGACTGCTCTTGAAGATCCCCTCTCCCCACCTGAAAGTTTAGCTGGTCCAGGATGCAGTGGCAAGTGCAGTTCTTGTACTCCAAAGTTTTTATATTTTGTGTGCACTGCAGTTATCTTTCGAATACAGTTCAAAGTGCTGGTTATCACCTTTAAAGCCCTGAATGGTAAAGGCTAAGTTATTTGTGAGTCCACCTCTCTCTGAGGGTATCTGCCCATCCTACCAAATCTAAAAGAGTATATGTGCTCCAGATCTCCTCTATCAAACAATGCCATCTGGCAAGACTTAGGAAGTGTTCCTTCTCTGTAGTGGTACCGGTCCTATGGATCACTCTCTCCCCTGATATCTGAAGGCCTTCTACTCTCTTGATCTTCCACAAGGCCATGAAGACCTCATGAAGGCTCATCAGGTGCTGAGCCAGGATGTGAACTCAGCTATGTTGGTAATTGGTTGTTATGGTACTTTATGATAGTAGGATGGTCTTTAATTTTGAATTTGTATTTCTAATATATTTATATCAATTTTATTGTTCCTAGTCTTGAGTTACACTGTGTAAGATGACAGCCATATAGAGCTTTAAAATAAATACATACATAGGAGAAATATCAATTATGCAAAGTCAGATATTTTAACTTGATTTGCATTTAGCACTGCTTTTGTATTCTGAAATTGCTAGATTTAGACATTTCATTTCTTAAAAAGCTGAGATTTTCTTATTCTGTATTTTGGCTTTTTTAAATAAAAGTTTTATTGGTTTTTTCCATTTTTTACAAAAGCTTAGGACACAACGTGGTGGTCAGAGTGTCAAATCATTCAAGAACAAAATCATATACATATAGCTCAAATTAATTATAAACAATTTCCTCTCTATAAGGAATAATATTACTTATTAAAATTAATACAATTTTAGATAAAGTTCCATCAAACAAAAATCCTCCATCACCTTGCAATTATGATAATCTATATCCTGTTTATGCTTTACTACTTACAATTGTCATATTCCAGTTACATTTCAATAGACATATAATTGGGATTTCAGGTATCCTTAATATTAGATCACTCATTAAGACTAATTTTTTCCCTATCACAAGTAGCTCTTACAACATATTTTTCATATTTAAAATAACAATATAAATCCAACAAATAAAATTCTATTTTTGAAAATATATTCTATACTTTCATCAATCTACATCTATAAAAAATCTTTTTAAGATTTTTATGAAGTTTTATGTTTACACCTTCAAATACTTATCAAGTATAATGTCAATAAATTCCCAGCCCTCATTCATTATTAAATCAGACAGAAATTCTCTATTTCAAAATAATTATCATATTTAAAATAATAATGTAATTCCAAAAAATACATATCTATTTTTAAAAACATGTTCTATCATTTCATCACTCATTGGCGGTAATCGCACCCTCCAGGGCATGTTTCAACCCACATAAGGGTCTATTGGCGGAGGGAAACTAGCTGATGAGGAGATGAATCTCTTCGTACAGCTAGAGGTGCTGCCTCCGGAACCGGAAGTCGTATTTTGGCTTCTGACTTTCTTTGCACAGACAACACATGTAGCTCTGAGTTTGGTTCTATGAATATTAGGTTAAGATAAGCAAATGTCAGAAATGATAACCTATTTTCCTACTATGAAATATAAGCTTAGGGACATTTGTCCAAACTAAATTGTTTTGAGCAATCTGTAATGACATGGGGATGGGAGTAAGAAAAAAGATGGGAGACAGTGGTAAACATCTATACATGTTATTGTAGATACCTTGCAAATACAGTTGAAGAAGACGATGAAGAATCAAAATATGAGATTTTCCCATGGGCTTTAGGAAAAGCTTGGAGAAAACTCTTCCCAGATTTCTTGGCTCTGAGAGATGAACTGTGGAATAAAATGGGTTATAGAGCTATAGTAAGCAGACGTTGCTGTGAAGAGGTAAGAAAAGTATGTTTCATATTATTAAGAAATAGGATAGGTAAATTATAATAAACAACTTCTGTTTTCCAATATAGCATCTTTCCTTGTTTTCAAAACTAGTAGTTATTTTTAAACACTGTCAAAATTATTATTACTCACTTTAATTGCTAGTTGATATCATGTTTTCAAAGCACTCTAATAAATAATTGATCTTCATCAAAGTGGGTGCATGTTTTAGAAAACATAATTCTAGTACTTATTGGAAAATACAAAATAACCTATGAATACCGAGTACATTATATAATTAATTTGATACTAGCTGTAAGTATTTGGGGCTTATTTTGAAGCAAACCATATAGAAGTCATGATCTTCTTCAAAATTAAATTTACATAGGTTATAAAATTTAGGTTATCATACAAAATGTCTATGATCTTATTGTATCTTTAAGTCCCCTAAGTGCAGCACAAACATGTCCTGGTAACCATTTTTATATGTTGTATAAAATGTTCTGTCATAAAAATTGCATTTTTCTCATCAATCCATAATTGAGGTAGCTTAAATTCCTCAATAGCTACTACGCTTTTAATAAAGTGTTTTCCCTTTATCTGATAGCATTTTTGCTGCGCATAATCTAGGATAATTCATTGACAATGTGGTTGATATAGTGGGCAGCAGCTGGGATCTGCTCATTTTGGCTATTTGAGTTGTATATATCTTCTCCTCCAGATGCTAGACACTGTTTTTGGCTGTTTTGACTTGGGTTGCAAAATTGTCTAGAACCAGGTCTTCCACAGAACTTAAGCCTATATTTTGCATTTCCAAATAACTTATCAGGTCTTAGGAGCACGGTGGTTCAAGTGGTTAAGATGCTGGGTAGGGGGTTAGCAAGTCCGTGTTCAAGACCCGAGAGCTGCCATGGGGTGGGGTTGATCTCCCATCCTTAACTTCAGTTCATGCTGGGGACATGAAAGGAGCCCCCAACTGGGTGTCACTGGCTTGATGTCACTGGCTAGGTCTTTCCACCTGAAAGCACCTTGGTGCTTCTGACACAAGTTCAGCATCAAGTCTTAAATGGGTTTCTTATATACACAGATTTAGCATTCTTTTGAATGTCAATATATTAATACTTTACAGCTGGGGTAGTCTATAAACCCAGTAAAACAGAGGAATGAATTGAGAGATAGATAATAAACACTCTTCTGAAAATATATATTTATTATTTTGATATGCCACCCATCGCACTAAAGGTTCAATTTAAAATTGGGAAAAAAAGTTCTGGGTTCTTCTAGTTGTTCGATACTGGTTCTGTTATCACTGAGTCCATTATAGGTTTTCCACTGCTTCTGTCAAAGAGGTGTTTTAAATGACTTTATTTTTTACTGTTTCTATTACTTGGGAAGATTTATTCGCAGTGCAAAGCAAATTGCAATTATTCTATTGCTGATCGGTTTCCAGCCAATTAATGTCTTTGTTGCTCATTCTCCCAAAACAAGTCCAACCCTTTATATGGCCTGCATGTAAGATGGTCTTATCATTACTATTAATTTGGCCAGTCTCTATCCATCTGATCTCACTGATACCTAAGATGTCTAGCTTGTAGTCATTAAGGAGCCACAGAAGTTGAGCAGATTTTCCAACCTGGTGTAGCATTCTCACATTCCACGTCCCAATTCTTGTGATGGTCTTGGCTAAGAAGGTCAATTTCAATTTCTGGCACCAGACCCCATGGCCAGTTTGCTCTGGTGTTGTCATATAAGCAATATGGCTTGTTCACTAAATTTTCTTGAGATTCTTCTTGCTGTTTTGGTTTCTTCACCTTACAAAATATCATAGAATAGCGCATTGAGTATTGACAGCCACTGGCCAACAACTTTATTGATTTTAAGAATTCATTTGACTGTCCACCAAGAATCTCTCTGGCAGATCCTATATCTATACTGTGTACTGACAGTCTTCATTACTATTTTTAAAACTTATACCTACAATCAAATTGCTGCATTAAGACTGAAGATGGCCATGCAGACTTTCTCAACATTATTACCAGAATTAGACAAGGCTGTATTCTATCAGTGCTCCTCTTCCTCGTGGCCCTTGAATATGTTATGTGATGAACATCACGCATTGGGAAAGATATTCATTATTCTGACCAAGACTGTCTTGGCGACCTGGATTTTGCAGATGATATTGCCCTATTTGAGGAAGACAATAAGTAATGACTGTCTTAGATGAAGAAGCAACCAAAATTGGCCTCAGGATAAGTGCCAAGAAATCTAAGATCATGTAAGATCATGTATGTGAGTTCCACCGCACAGATACAGGGAATCACATTCAGATCACAGTGACTTGAGAAAATAGAAAGGGTTACCTATTTGGCTAGTATAATAGCCCAAAATGGAGATGCAGAGATGGACATCAAGTGCTGCATGGGAAAATCAACAGCTATTTTCGAAAGGATGAATAAAATATAGTCCTCATTATCTATATCACTGAAACGTAAACTCTGTTTGCTTGCCTCTATAGTGATCCTGACAACCATTTATGCCAGCAAGACTTGGAAGGCATCAGCAAGTATTAAAAAGAGTCTTGATGTCTTCCAACAAAGATGCCTTCATCGAATACTAAAAATTCCCATTTTGATCATATTATTAATGAAAAAGTGCTCCCAAAAAGTTTCTGCTGAAAACTACATAACATTGTTGCATGCAGAAGATTCCAACTTGCAGGTCATATTGTCTTCATGGAGAACAATCAAATTCCCAAGATGGCAATGAGATGGACACCCCCCCCCCAATGCCAAATGACCAACAGGATGTCCTTGAAACACATGGCGAAGAACATTCATGGAAAACTTAAAGACTCTAAAAATCACATGGGAAGATGCTGAAGTACTTGCCCAAGACCAAAAATGCTGGAGATCCCTTGCTTCCCAATATAGTACATAGCACAGGAGGATCTAAAGCCGAGGTGGCGCAGCAGTTAGAGTGCAGTACTGCAGGCCACTTTAGCTGACTGTTCAAATCTCACCGGCTCAAGGTTGACTCAGCCTTCCATCCTTCCGGGGTAGGTAAAATGAGGACCCAGATTGTTGGGGGCAATGTAAATATATATATACATTGCTTACTGGTGTACACCGCTTAGAGAGTGCTTGCACTTAAAGCGGTATATAAGTCTCATAAATAAATAAATAATGCTTTAAAAAAATTACTTAGGAAATATGCTATTTTGCCTACCGGTAATCCTTGAGTTATGAATGTAATAGAACCTGCCATTTACATTCATAACCTGAGGATTCGTTAATTGGATCACGTTAAATAAATGTGATACCTCCTTGCTTTCCCCAATGCATTCATTAATGCAGTGCTTCTCAAATAGTGGGGCGCGCCCCCCAGGGGGGGCGCAAGGCTCCATAAAGGGGGGCTCGTTTGACCTCGGCAAACATTGTCATATTGGATTTCTAGATCGGATCATCCGACTCACTCGCAAGCGGCAGTCTGACGCGGAGAACATGACCGCCAACGCACGTGACACATGCAAAGGACCCGATTGGATAGACATGATGCTCTATCCTGTTTGGCCAAACCCGCCCGTGTGACTTTTAGACCCGGAAATTGGTCCTCTGTACAGAAAAAAAATTTTTACAGTCGCGCGGGGGGCACGAAATGTTTTCTTCTTCCTAGGGGGGCATGACAGAAAATAAATGAGAAGCACTGCATTAATGAAATGCACAAGTTGTTAAGTACACATGAGGTATCTCAGGGTGGAGACCATTTGGGGCCTAGTGCTGGAACAGGCCACCTGCTTCCAACCACCCAAGGCCTCCACTTACCAAGATATCTCATGCTCTGCTTACAGTCCTTTGGGGTACCCATAATTGCGTCACCCCCCCATCCTGCCCTACCAGGTCTCCACAGGCACTGGGCCTGCTTTGCAAGCCCATCAGTTTCCACTTGTTCCACCCCACGTTAACGATCGCTCAATTACCTTTCGAAGATCTCCAGAGTTCCAGAACTTTTCTGACCCATGTGGCAGAAAAGTGGCCATCTTTTACTTAGACACTGGCAAAACTGTCAGATAGAGGCATGGAATGAAGCTGTCAGGAATGTCCTCAGTTCTCCATGCAACATCTTTTGCATTTTTGACCTTTTATATCAGCTTTTTCAGAACACGGATATAGCATTCATTTGAAAGTGGTGCCTGCTTTTTCCCTTTCTCTTGCTCTATACCTTTTTCCCTTTCTCTTGCTCTATACCTATTTGCTAATAAATAGCGGAGTTTTTGGCTGTTTTATAATTATCTTCTTTTTAATTAAGAAAATGGTATTTGCCCACTAGCCTTTATATTTTTTGTGTACTGTTTGCTATATGATAGTTCTGATGTAGTCCTTTCTGAGATAAGAGTCTTTGATACAGGTAATGGCAATTGCTTCAACACATTATGTATGGCAGCGAGAACGGTCTCTTTACCATAGTGGAGCTATAAGAAACAGTTGCAGAAACAAAGTACAGTTGCCTCGAGGACCCAATGCCACACCTGTAGACTGTGAACTTTGTGGGAAAAAAACACGATATATAAGGCTGGGATTATCATCTTCCTCCTCCACTGAAACTTTGGAAATGATGGAGCACCACGTCGCTTCTGGAGTGCTTGATCCAACAGATAAAATGCTCCTTGATCCATCATATCATTGTCGCTCCCAAGGTAGGTCAAGGGTCCATAGAAATAAAATTATACTGTAATGCTTAAACTTCTAGTCTAATTATAGCCAAGAAATAAAAAAGGCTGTATGTTTAGAGTTCACATATATCATATGTCTCTCTAGCTGGGAATGTTTTGTCTCTACATGAAAACTACAGACTGGGGTTAAATTTAAAATACTGTTAAATCTCCTGAGGCTATAGTCACAATAACCAATAATGGAAATTCCATTCTGATAAACAAAATTAGTTTATACTTAATATTCAGAGCATAGTCCTGTGTGTATTAAAAGTGTAACGGAGCACCACAGCAGGGGCCAAGGCTGCATATTTAGCATGGTACAAAAAGTTTTTGTATGAAGCCCAATAGATAAATTACTGTTATATTCATTGCCCTAAATTCTATACAAGCCACACTTTATATAATCTTATTGCACAAGGGGATTGTTGTGTTCACTTCATCTTTTATTGAATTAGTTTCCTGCCAATTTTTTCTTCATATATAAGTTTTATATTGTTTCTGTAATTGAAAATTATGATCACGCGTACAAAAGTGTCTCATTTAAATTGTGAGTTTACATAATTTTACCTATACTTAATTCTCTTTGCAGAAAGCTAATTAATTTTAGCAGAAAAATAAATCTAGTTTATTTTCAAAACCATGAATCAATTTCCATGCTAGTGGCATTACATTAATTTTGAATAATAGTACAATATTTGTTTCTTAATAAAGATAGAACAGACCTAAGGATGACAAAGTGTGTAACTGGTACCGATAACAGTGAATATAATAATGAAATGGATTATGCAAGGTATATTGTTCTGGATATTTTCTGCTAAATCATTAACTTATCTTCTGAAATTTATTTACATATTAAGCCATGGAATCCTTATGCTGGGGACACTGAAAATATTGAAGTTACTTTGATTTAGGCATGATTATTTTTTAGTAAGCAATCGACAGTCATTCTTCCTGATTACTCCATAAAGTCTCATTGATAGTTTTGGTACCAAACAAAAATATCAACATTGATACAGCTGTAAAAAAAAATTACACAAAGGCCTTTGATCTGTGGTGTTTTAGTATGTACTGCTACCCAAGAATTGGTAATGAAAGAACATCTAATGCACCAAGAATATTAGAGTTAATGAGCTGAAGGAAAGAACAATAGAAAATATTCTAAGCAATGTATATAATTCACTGGAAAGCCTTTTTACAATTTTATTTTGCTAGCTGGGTTTTTCCTTCTATTATTCCTATTTATGTAATCTGTTCTGAATTATACAAAAGCATTCTTGTTTATCAGTAATGACAAATACTTCCAAATACTTCCATTTTTTTGACAGATGAACTGCCAAGTAATGGGAAAAAAAGTAGTCGAGATAAATCCATGGACTGGTTTACGGGAAATGAAGAATAACAAAACTTAACAAGTTTCGAAATGAATAGGAAATTAAACACAAAATACATGTCAAAATATTTTTTGTCTAAATTTGGTTTATTTATTTTATGTGTTAAACACATTAATATATTGAAACATACTGTATCTTAGTCAATGTAAACACATCCGATGTTTCCCAAATAATACTCATTTCAGAAGAAAATTTAATGTGTTACTTCTGATGAAGTACGGTCTTCAAATTGGCACATTCCGTCGGGAGCAGTGTTTGGATATAATGAATTAAATTTCCTCAGCTTGACAAGGAATACTATATAAAAATGGAGAAAAACTAATGTTTTAACAGTCATTAGCATTTTGTTTTATTATTCATTTCTAAAAATGCTTTTACAGTGCTTATGAAAAACATAGTAATAATGAAATGTATAGCTTATAACATTTTTGCTAAGTCATTCTTACCTGTGTGACCAACTTGGTATGGGAAAGGTTTAGCAACATAAGGTATTCTTACATTGGCAGAAACAAGAGCTGTTGAGATAAAATAAAATAATTCAAATTTGTTCTTGAAACAAATCTGCTATTGAACTTCTCATCCCTGTATCAATGTTCACACACACACCCTAGCTTTGGGTACCTTAGCAACTTTCCCTATTTCTTTCCTTTCCCATAAGAGGAAGACATACATTTTATTTCATATTGTCATCCCTGAAGGAAAGCAATATCAGATATCAGGCTGAGTCCTAATTGAGTTTGTTTCATTCATAATTCCAATGGACAAGAATGTATGTAGCTCAGGTTGGATGCTAGGGAATTCCTGAAAGCTTGATATTTAGACAAATCAATCATCAATAGACACAGAGAAATAAGCCATATTTACACACTATTCAAATAAGACAATCAAAAGCTAAAAAGGAAACAAAAGGGACAGAACATATCCGTATCCTCTGGAAACCAACACTCATAAAAGCAGGGATTAACACCAGGCAAACAATCAAGCGAATAAAAAACAATACCCTAATCAAAGAACTACCACGGAGAAAAACTACATCTCCACCAACACTGGCAGAGCAACAAGCTCTGTACTGTATATAAACAGGGAACAGACTTCACACTCACTAGCACTGATGTTACCTAGTTGGTTTAATGAAATATCTGCAAGCAAACAACCATGCTCAGAGGACATTTAGGTCTCCATAGTTCATAATGTGTGATTCAAGAAAGCTGTTATTTACTCAGCAAGTTACAGTTAAGTATACATGATTTAGTATGCATAAATCCAATCTATGATCTACCTCTTCTGACAAGATATATTACTAGGATACAATATTTCAGGATACAATATATACAATATATTTCCTACCTTCATTTCCTCTCTCTTCAGCAGAAACATCATTTTCATAATGGCAAACAGTTTCATCATTGATGTTTAATTCAGATGCTATGTTTTTAAGAACATTTCTCTTTTCCCATGTAGCTGGGCATATTAGCCAATCTCTATGTGTAACTTCCAAAACCTTTTCACAAAAAAGGGCTAATTTTCTGATCCGGATAGCTTCAATCAATTCAATAACCTGAGTAATACTGGTAGAAAAATAAGCAATTATGTATATTGCAAATGAATGTCTAAAATGTATATTAGAATTTATTTTATAGCCCAATTTTAATGCACATTTATTCAATCTGGATTATTTGCGTTGGTTTAGATTACCATGTAAATCCAGTCATTATGGTTTACTAAATAATGGTTAAATCACATCTTAACATGATGTTTCAACCTTGTCACTTTGGTTGAAGACAGAAATATAGAATTGGAAGGAACCATAAGGATCATCTATTCCATGTACAGGAAACTATTTAAATCAGTCTTGAAAAGTGTCTAACCAGATGGAGAATCCACAACCTCTATCAGTACACTGTTCCACTATTATATTTTATCATGTTGATGTTTTTTTCCTTATATTTGAAATCTAAGTACAGGTAGTCCTTGAGTTAGGATAGTCATTGGAACTGGAATTTCTGTTACTATGGCCATAAATAATCCCAGCAGTCCCCACTGCAGCTGTTAATCAAACCCATTGGTCATTAGGTGAATACCAACCCTGAGTCAAGCAACTCTCAGTTTGGTCTTCCCAGCCTAATTGAGGTAAGAGTCTGCCTTCTCTGTCCCCTTTCCAAGTCCTCTCATTTGTCTATCCCTCCATCTCTGCCCTTTTGGCTGCCCTGCACAGTGGAGAGGCGGTGGTGCTGGGGCTTCAGCAGACTCAGCTGGCTGCCACCCCCCCTGCTCCTCTCTTTCACTCCAAATGCTACCAAGGAGCGCTGCCTCAGCCCCATGTCATAGCTAGCCACCCTAGTGCCACAGTGCAAAGCCCCAGCTGCCCCTAGGCCCTATGCTCCACAGGCCTTGCTGCGTCCTGCTGACCTTTGTTATTTTCCACAGCTTGACCTGCTGAGTCTGGCTCTATGTGAGGCAGCTGATGGCCAGCCATGTCAGACCTTCTTCCTGAGGCTGCATTTGCCATTCTCCAAATAGCATGAGAACTAATGGGCAGAGCTCTCAAAAAAGACCTAAGGATGGGTTTGCTATTAGCACTTTTCAGCCAAATTGATTTGACACAATATCTGAGAACCAATGGAGCCATGCCTACAGTGAAGAAATTAATTATAAATTAATTTGATAGTGCCAAGCTGTGGCACCTATAGAAACCAAACCTCTTTCTAAAGTATCATTCTTACTGCATCTTGGAACTGTAAAGATAAGTCCTATAAACTTGGACTGAACAGTTCCCAGGATATTAAATTCTGAAAAAGAACAAATCTGAGCACCATAAAGAAGCTAAAAAATAACTATAGGAAGACGACCTTGCAGGAATAAATTTTGTTTTCTTTGAACAGAAAACAAACTTAAGATAGTTAAGAGGCAATGTTGAACAATACTAGCCTTCTCTTGTGTATAGTAAAGAGAACTGCTATTTTACTCCAAGATATTTGTAGTACATGTCTGCTCTATTGGAATCTCATTAATTATCATACATATGTCCTATAGTATGGTTGAAATAATTTTTTAAATTTTAAGTACAAACTGTTCCTTCATGTAAAAGGAAGCCAAAGCCAAAAAAGAAAAAAAAAATCCCCTTTCATTCTCAACTGGGAAATAGATAAAAGCACATGTTGTCTGCATTTTACAAAGCTGGAATTGCACAGTCTGCTAATATTGGAGGTTAATAACGTGAGACATGACAGCCTGAATACTGAGTTAATATACAGACTGAAAAAAGAGTGGGATTAAAAAGAAGTTTTAAAAGAGTAAAAAAAGATCAACCAAGATGGCAAGGGGGTTGGAGGTTAAATCCTATGAAGATTTGTTAAAAAAAAACTAGATATAATTAGTCTAAAGAAGAAAAAGATTCATGCAATTCCTGTTCCTATTTGATTTCATATACACGTACATCACAGCCACCTCACTGCATTCTTTCCTGAAAAGTTGAAATGACCCTGCATCTACATTTACATGAAGCAACCAGGCATAGCTTTAAGGCAGTGGTATTAGTCTGGCAAAATATTTGTCTGCTTTACAAGTTTGAAGAGGGGTGTTTCATTCATGCACGAAATAAAGTTTCAAATACTTTGCACAACTGTACTCTCTAAGCATTGAAAGAAAAACCTGGACATTTAAGGAATGAATACTTACTTTGCCAAGTATACAACACATACCCCCCCTTGTTTAAGACTTGGGAAAATTACAGGCAAAGCATTCTGTGGGGAAAGCATGTCCAGAGCTACCTACCAAAAGGGAAAGGAAAACATTAATATTAAAGTAAAACACAAGAGATTAATTTTAATGAGTACTTGTATTAGACGTACTTATTGTACTGTTGACTTGTGACAGTGTATCTGTTTTTAGCATAACACATGTCAGTGTTTTTATAAGCACACACTCACAAACCATAATGTCAGACTGGCTGGATCATGGCTTAGAGATGATAAAACTAAAGGTGTTTGCTTATAGTACTAATAGTATTATACGTTTTAGGCCTCCAAACCACTTTGAACTTAGAACAGGAAATTCTGACTTTAAGAAAACAAATACAGTACTTACCGCATCAAGTGTTACAGATTTCAAATCCTCAGCTGCAGTCAAAATATCTTGATTAATGAAATCTACATTATTTGGCCACTCTTTACCACGTCCTAGTTTCCATGCATTACACCACTGCCAAAAATTCTTCTTTGCCAATTTGTGATGTTGTTTCATAATTTCGTAACTTATAACAAGTCCTTGTGACCCCACTGAAAACAGAATATAATCAAGTTGAGTTATATTTATATAAACTATTTTATAAATAATATAGAAAATACTCAAATAGCCTCCTGCAAGGAAAGACCAAAATCTACCACCACTCTTCTTCCTGTTTGAATTATATTCCCTCCCACACCTGCCTTTCCTGATTTTAGCTGTCCTACCATTCACCTGTGGCTAACTACTAGTCAGGTGACTCTTAATTATTGATTTAAGGCAGGGCTTTTCAACCTTTTCATAGGTTGTACCACTTTTAGGACATGACAATATTTGAGTACCACCAGTGCTTACCAAGGTGTCAAAAACTTGATGACTGAAAAAAAAAAGGGGGTGGGATTTTGGGTTTTACTGATTAGACTCATTTGTTGTTATAGAAATGGCTAGTTTATACTATAACGGAAAAGTAAAAAGTTGAGGTTCGATGTTAATGTTTCATGCTACTGCAACAGAGGAAGTCGGAAATCAATGCCTTTTCCTCTTCTCCCTCTCACTTTTTTTCCCCTTCTTCCTCCCCACTATGTCCTATTTGCTTTTGTGTTTTTGTATTTTATTCCATAATCTAATACAATGTTACAAACCGTAAAAAAAAAGAAAAGAAAAAAGTACCAGTTTTAATTTCTTTAGTGGTGGTTCCTTTGCTCTCAGGCCACATGGAGGACCCCTGACGGTGCAGGCTGCCCAGAGCTCTGGGCAGTGGAGGGCAAGCGCCCAGCTCAGCCCAGCCTTCCCCAAGGGGGTGTCCAGCTGCGCTTACCTTCTCCTTGAGACTGCTGCTGCTTGGCTCACTCTCCTTGGCCAGGTTGCTCATGGTGTGTGTGGGAGGACAAAATGTGTGGGTCAGAGGGAGGCCCGCTCCCTGTCCATATGAGGAGACCTGGTTTTGTAACCAAAGCATCCTCATCAATAGGATGGGAGACTACCAGGAGAGTCAGGAGGCGGGGACAAGGGGATGGCAAAAGGGCAGCATTGCTGGTCATGGCCAAGTGCTAAGGCAGGATTTCCTTCAGAACCTCCCTCCCTCCCTCTCATTATAACCTTCCTTCCTTCTCTTCTTTTTTCCTTCCCTCTTCTTTCTCCTTTCCTTTTTCTTCCTTCCCCTCTTTCCTTCTTTTTCTTTGTCTTTCCTCTTTCTTTTTCTCCTTTCCTCTCCCTTCTTGGATGCTCAAATGCAAAAAGGGAAACATTTCTCGATGCCTCCTTGCCTTGTGATCAAATGCCACTTTTGCTAGTAGTTTGTGGCCACTTAAAAGATTGAGAACAAACCAGGCTCAGTTTATCCCATGCTTGTCTTTAGTGGGGTCATCCATAGACAATAGCAAAACTGTCAAAATGGTGGCTGCGACAGTTGATCAGAGCTCCTCCGTTTTTTACATGCAACAGCTTTAGCATTTAGGAACAGAGGTAGCTTAGTTGCTTTTCTATTAATACCTAATCCTTAAAAGGGCTCTCTTGTAGGAACTCTGTCTTGGTCTAATTCAAACTGGAAATATAGCAAAGGAAAATATTTTCACCACTCTGCTTTGTCCTGTTTTCCCCACTGGAAATGGCTGTTAGCATCAGACAAGGAGGGGACACGTTCCTAAGAGCTTACAATTCAAGAATACCAATGCTAACTTGGATTGAGAATGAAGTTCTGTCTGTGACAAAACAGAACACAAAATTGCTTTGTCCTTTGAACTGAGGCATTTCCAACCAAATTGCCTCTCCTTCCTTCCTTCCTTCCTTCCTTCCTTCCTTCCTTCCTTCCTTCCTTCCTTCCTTCCTTCTTTCCTTCCTTCCTTCCTTCCTTCCTGCTTTTTTTTTAAACTGCCAGAGGCTCCGGGCAGATGTGGCAACAGGCAGGCAGAGGTGGGCAGAGTGTTCACATTTTGATCCCTCCTCTGTCTTGCCTCTACATGGCTCTCAACTCACCTCTCCCAGACCTGCGCACATGTTAGTTTGTGTGTGTGTGTGTGTGTGACCTTCTGTGATGGCAGGCTGCAAACTAATGAAAGCTATTTATGGGGAGTACTTGTTTCTTTTTCTTAACATGTCCCATCGCGCCCTGCACCCCCTCATCTCCTGCCCCCAACCTGTGGAAGGCTGCAGGAAGCTCCCATCGCAGCTTCTCTTATCTCTCCCGTTCTTTTCCTCCCCAATGTCACGGCGTGGGACTGCAAGGAGTGAGACCCCCCCATGCACACACGAGCACACACACACACACAGACACAGACACAAACACATGTGCGGATCTGGGAAAGGCGAGCTGAGAGGCATGCAGAGGCCCTTCAGGCACTGCCCAGGCCTTGGGCAGCTTTAAAAAAATGAACCTGTGAAGCGCTCAGAATGCAGTCCCTTTCCCAGCTCCTTCCTTCCTTCCTCCCAAGGGATGATGGGAAGGAGAGAGATTGCCAGCACTGCCCACCAGCCATAGCTATTCCAGGGGCACGCAGGGGCGGTCCCGGTGAAAGAGAAGCCTGGTGGCTGCTATGCTAGGTCAGCGAGTGGGCATGGCACTGATTTACTGGTGGGGGCCATCAAAGCTGGAACGCGCTCAGCGTTAAATCAACGGGGCAGCCCTGGAGCCAGCAAGGCCCCCCCCAACATCTCTGCCCCGTCCCCTGGAGGTGCACAGAGAAGGTGGCAAGCGCTGGCATCCTGGGGGAAAGGGAAGCGCTTCTCTTGCCTTTTTTCTTTCTCAATGGTCAGCAGGGGCGGTCAGCAGGGATGCTGGGCACTTGCCTCCTCCTCTTTGTGTGCCCAGGGGAAGATGCAGGGGCAGCCCCTCTCTGGCCCTTTCCCGCCAAAACCTCCTTTGATATCCTCTCCTCTCTCCCCCACTCCTCTTCCTTTTCACTTCAGGGCATCTCCAGCTTCTGAAAGCACCGATCAGCTGGAGCCCGGCACTGATCCTGGGGCTTCTGCTGAGCCCCGACAGCACTGCAGCTCCAGTTGTCTCTGCTTTAGGCTTGTGCGGCGCTGCCGCTGCTTCAGCTTATTCCTCTCCCCCCCCCCCCCGCTACCACTTCTCTAGGACAGTTGCATACCACCTGCCAGGTACCAAAGTACCACCGGTTGAAAAGCCCTGATTTAAGGGGTTCTCATGGTGATGTATAGTAAAATAACCCATCAGCATAATATCTGTAGGGTAGCAAGTTTTTCCAGGGATGTTAGCAATAGGTGACTATCCGTGAATTGTGATTCGCTGTACTTCAGCCCTTAAGGAGCTGTTTTATTTCACCCAACTGTAGCAATAGTAAGAAAAAAAAACAAATAAACAATAGGAAAATGTGGAGAAGTTACAGAAACACCTTAGAAAAATGTGATGAATAGAACACAATAATTGTATGACAATATATCTGAAAAGCATCTTCTCATATTTTACCTCAAATGTTGCTTTACTATCAAAAGATGCATAATTTTCTGTTCATTTCAGACAGCACTATAGTGGCATGTTCAGACAACATACTAAAATAAAAATGATGGATTAAATATCAAAATAGCTAAGGCATAACCCAAAAACTCATATTGCATTTAAGAATTATTTGATAGCCACAAAAAATGGAATCTGTGCTGGAAAATCCCAGTCTTAATCCCACTTCCTCCTATTAAAATAAGGTAGCAGGAATGAAATATAATTTTTCGGCCTGAAACATAGTATAAGCTGAGCAACCGTATTAAGATGACAAAAAGTCTAATCTAGTATAAAGAAACAGTGAAAGATGGAAACTCTGTCAACTGACACCAATAATGAAAATCGTCTTCAAAAACTGTCATTTTACCTGCTTTTGACAGAAATAAGCTCATACTGCCAGAACCAGAACCAGCTTCCAATACTATGTCCCCTTGAGTGATATCCATTAGCAGTAACATTGTATTGGCATCCTGTAGGTTAAAAGAACAAAGATGATAGGAGTTTCAAAGCTACTATTCAAATAGTATTGAGAGGGGATGTTTCTTTAGTCTGTCCAGTTTCAATGCAGAAAAATTAATATTCAGTATAACTGAACAACAGCTGGGACAGATGTTTGGACGCAACTTCTGCAGAGAACAGAAGTGGGTATACAGATAGTCTTCAACTTATGACCACAATTGAGCCCAAAATTTATGTTGCTAAGTGAGAAACCTGTTAAGTAAGGTTTGCCCCATTTTACAACTTTTCTTGCCACATTTGTTAGGTGAATCCCTGCAGTTGTTAAATTAGTATCCCGTTGTTAAATGAATCTGGTTTCTCCACTGACTTTGCTTGTCAGAAGGTTGCAAAAGGTGATCATGTGTCCCAAAGACACTGCAACGGTCATAAATATAAGTCAGTTGTTAAGCATCTGAATGTAAATCATGTGATCACGGGGATGCTGCAATAGTCATAAGTCTGAAAAATGGTCATAAGTCACGTCTTTCATACTGTTGTAACTCTGAATAGTCACTAAGTGAACTGTTATAAGTTGAGGACTATCTGTAATCTTATATTTATAGCAACAGAAATAATTCCAGCTAGAATTTGGAGGTCCCACTGCAAGTTCTGTTATAGTCTAAATTTAGCCCAGATACCTTTCAAATAAATAAATCAATTCTGCAAATTCTCAGCAATTGATATGCTGGCAGGACAATTCTGGGAGGAAGAAAAGTCCATATGTCCGAATGCGGCCCACTAAGTGGTTTCATGTGGTCCGCGAAGCCATCCTGGAAACAGTGAGGGAACAGCCCCTGCTGCCTTGGCCCTGGCCCATGCCAGCTGGGAGCCAATGTAAAATTTTGTGGTGGCCATCTATGCTGAAACACATTCAGTCTTAGCTCCATAAGCCCCCCCCCCCTGCATGGCCTGAGAGGAACAGTGAGGCTCCTCCAGTGAACCATGTCTTGGCACTTGCCCTGGTCCCACTTCCTTCTGCCAGAGACCCTCAGATCTATCCCACTCCTGCCCAGGCCCTCACAGGCACCCTTGACACAAATGATGTAGAGCTGGCCACGCCCACCCAGTAGACTGCACCCACCCTGGCCACACCCACCCAGCCCCCCCCCCCCAGGGCAACCGCAATGCTGATGCAGCCCTCAATGAAATTGAGTTTGACACCCCTGGTCTAAAGAATGTCCAAGCTGGGGAAGGATGCCTCAATGATAAGATGAAGCAGTAAAGGTGCCATGCCTCTATCATTTTCTCTCCGTTTTGGACCCACTATTGCAGCATTTCTCAACCTCAGCGACCTTAACGTGTCTGGACTTCAATTCCCAGAATTCTCCAGCCCAGAGAGGATCATTGGGCTACAAAGGGAATCATACAAGAGGTGGGCTAAAAATATGGGGAAGTGAGGAAAGTCTGATGTTGTAGCCAAGGAAAGAAATAGGAAATATATACATGAAGCATAAAAGATTAGGTGGGGAGTTTTGTTGGGTCCTAAAAAGCCAAACGTCTACTTTACCAATTCTGTTTTCAAAATGAGCCCACAAGATCTCAGTGGAGCCCGTTGAAATAACGGTAACATACTTATCACTCCCCAGAATGGGAATTGGGGACTGCTGAACAATTAATATATACCTTCGGAGAGATGATGGAAGGTTTTCGATCCATTAGCAGCACATATTCTTGTAAGGATGGCCTCCGAATCATCAAGATTTTATCCTGGGACGTTTGGAATAGCTGCCCGGGGAGTCTACCTATGATCTCAGAGAATCTAATGAAACCTAAATTAGTATTAGACGTTCCGGTATCAGTGAGCACGCATTGAATCTTCAATTTCGAGCCGTGTTTTCGATGACCCTCTATTAGAATCAGCTCCCCAACTCGGAAGGGGCAGTTCCTGGAAGGCGCATTTTTTATTTTCTCGGAGAACATGCCTCGATCCAGCTGGGAATCTGCTCCAGGAAAGACTCCCACCTCTGCGACGTCTGTTTCGTGTTCCTGAAACTTGGATTCCTTCATCTCCGCGCTTTTCAGAGCTCTGATCTCCGCAGAGTGGAGCTCGGGGGGAATCATCCGGCTCAGCCTTTCCAAGGGCGATAGCGACCGTCTCCAAGCCCTGCTGGTCTCCCTCAATCTAAAGGAGTCCTGCTGAGATTTAGGGCTAACCTGTTCTGGAAGCTCATCCCCTCCGTCTCTGTCCCTCGTCGAGCTAGAAGATACCCGGCGACTAAAGCCATGGGAATCGACTGTGGGCGTTCCTTGCAGCTGGTGCCGGAGCGCTTTGGAATGACCAATGACCATTCCTGGCGCTCCAGCCCGGAGGTTAAGTCCTTTTCTCCCAGCGTCGCGTAAGTATCGACCCTCTCTCATCTTGGTCCGGAGCGATGCACAAGTCCCCCCTTGCGATGCCACCAGACCCAGCCTTTGCCAGCAGCAGGCCATCATGGCTCCGGTGCTCCGGTCCTTTGAGGAGATCAGATGCCGCCAATTCACCAATCGCTTTCTTTTATTTTATGCTTGGCTTATTGGAATCCGCCGTTCTACCACTCCGCCAAAGCCACCATGCAGGTTGTAAGGCGCCCAGGACGCAGACGGAACATTTTCTTCCCGGGCGAGCTGCAGAGCCAATCGCAATCCAATCAAAGGGGCCTTTCCGAAGAAGTAGGTTTCCTCTTCAGCTTCCGGTTATGAATGGAATCCTCAATGGGGGAGCTAAAGACAGCGAGGGTACATATTAATCGAAATACTAAATGAAAGAAGGAGGATGAAAGGATGTCATTCCCTACGAGGTTTGGAAGAAATGGGACTCTTCTCTAAGATATAGATTCTTTCAGTACTCCTTGAATTCTGCCTCTCTATCCTTTTCCAAGAGAAGTAGGGGTTTAACAGGCTTTGGTGTCTTCACTGCTATCTGCAACTTCGTGACGGGAAAATCTGTCTGCTGAATTTTATAAAATAATAATCTAAGAACCGTGTTCAGAGGTGCCAGTGTTTCCGAAGAGCGAATCTAAATTATATTACGCGGGTCCTCAGAATGGAGGAAACACAACAAACTCAACGTTTTCTTTCATTGAACTTAACCTATGCGTATCCTGCCGGAGGGTGGTGTCTGGCTTCTGTTTTTAGGCTTTACCAATAACTAAAATTTAAGTATTTTTTTAACCTTAAGTTCTACGCATTTATAGTGGTCCTGCCCGCATATGGAGGCCTATTAACTGCAACTGAGAACCGGATGTTGAGGTATAAAACTATTGGATCTTAGCCTTGTGGAGAGAAAAAGCACAAGGGATGATGCATATACCCTGCGCCGGCTTAGTCTCTCTTTAGAAGTCGTGTTGGAGTGTGTCTGGATTCTTCTACTGTAAATTATTTTTGTGGTTGCTTCTCGTCCCATTTTCTTTTGATCTTTTTGCCCCAGATACATACACACATACATACACACATACATACCTGGTAACAATCATATTGCCAATAAGGGAGAATATTTCTAGCTCAGGTTGAAATGAGGGTCCCTTGGGGTTCTCTGAGCTTGTTTGTTTTCTTGCAAATGTTTCATTACCCAAACTTAGTAACATAATCAGTTCTAGTAAGGAGTCAAGTTTGCTCTCAGTTTATATTCTCATGGCTTGCCTCTCAGTGTTGGTGATTAAGTATGTCTTCCATATAAAGGATTTCTCAAAAGTAGTATTTAAAAGAGGTGCATTGTTCTATTGTCCATGGGGTCGCGATGGGTCGGACACGACTTCGCAATTAACAACAACAACAACATTGTTCTATTGTTCGGCGTTGTCCATTTGAGTTTGATTATGCTTTTACTGAAACTATCTTTGTTTTTACCATTTTTTTCCTTTCACAATAATAATCTAAGCTAGCAACAATCTTCTAAGGCCAGTTTTGGTGCTAGAAATGAAAGCTATGTGGTTGGCATATATTAAAGTTGAAACTTTACATTCACTAAGTGAGGAGAGAAGACATTTTCTGACTTTGTGGCCACTAAATTGATGTAAATAAAAAAGGAAGAAGTAAACAGACTTGACTGACTCCTCACACCATTGAAATGGGATGTGACAAAGAGTCTTGTAGCTCTTATTCTTACTCTGGCCACAGTATCAGTATGTAATTCAACTGTTAGTTTGAAAAGGTTAAAAAAAATCCTATTGATGTCTGTCTTTGCATTTTTTTTCCATAAATGGGACCTGTCAATTGAGTCAAAGGCAGAAATAAAACTGATGAATGTGACACAGTTGCTTTGTATGTCTGTTGATATATTTCTGGATAAAAGGAATGAAGTGGCAAACTGTGCTTTATGAATCTCGCCTGTTCTGGCTGGAATTTCCCCCCCTCCCAATCATAAATTTAGTAAAGAGATGTAGAACATAAAGTTTAGAAGATATATCTAAAAGGCTAATTGGATAGTATTTGGCAGGCTCCTGCTTGCAGTCTTTTTAAAGGACTAGAATTCTTTATGTAATTTTATCTTTTGTAAATCTTAATGCACTTTTCTTCATTCTTTTTTCAGCTTTAACTCTTGTTTAGGTTCTTTAAAACATAGATATTTAATGCATAAAGAGTAAATGAGCTGTAAGGAATTTAAAGTGTGCTACTTTAAGGAATAGGTATGAACTTAAATGGACTCCAGAAGATGGTAGAGGACAGGAAGACTTGGAGGAACATTGTTCATGGGGTCGCGATGGGTCGGACATGACTTCGCAATTAACAACAACAACACTTTAAGGATAAAGAAATAATATATACAGCACATTTTAAATATGTGGAATGATTTTTTCTAGAACAGGGATGTCAAACTGGTGGCCCGTCACGTGTAGGCCATGCCCACCTTGGCTCCACAGAGGCAAAAAGTGTCATGATATGTCACAATATGTCATGTGACGTGATTGAGTTTGACACCGTGTTCGTGTTCTATGGATGGATCTACAGTGGACAGAACATTGAATTAAAAACACATTCCTATCAGCAAGTACTCATATGCACTAGTAGACTGGGATTTACTGGTATTCTGAATAAATGAATTTAGGACTGGAATAAAAAATAGGCAACATGGAGAAATGTGGCAGGTTTGTGGAACCAAAATGTTTACATCATCTTCCCTACATCTTTATTTCTCCATATTGCTGGTGCTTTTCGGAAAAGTGCTTTCAAGTCCTTCATGCTCTCTGAGCTTTATTCTCTTCTTGCAGATGTTTCCCCTACTACGTAACACCTAGTTGAAGAATAAATTATCTGCAAGAAAACAACCAAACTCGGAGAGCACCAAAGACTAAACAGTTCAACCTTGAGCTACAAATAATTCTTTTTTATTAGACCAGTGCTTTTCAACCGAGGCAACTTTAAGATCTGTGGACTTCAACTCCCAGAATTCCGCAACCGACTGGTTTAGGCCGATTGTAATCTCTTATTACGATGAAACGTTCTGAACAATTACAATCGGATTCCAGCAGCCAATTCAAATATGAAGCTTGGCCCCCTGATCTTTAAGTCGGTTCTCAGCTGTGCTGCTCCATTCCTGGGCAAGTTCATTTGGAGGAAAGCCAACGGCTTCATCAACCGAAGGCTACAGAAACAGCCCGCTAACGTCAACCCTCAGCCTTGAAGCGTGAGGATGACGGAGTACAGCGCCTCGGAGGTGGTAAGTGCGCATGATCGAGAGGCGGACCACGTGGCCGTGCGCTTGCCTGCTGGGAGCACAGAGGGCCGGGCCTGCAGCGAGCGCCATGGCGGCAGCAGGAGGAGGAGGAGGAGGAGAAGGCGCTTCGGCGGGCGAGCGGGAGCAGGCGGCGGCCTTCGAGAGCCCCATCTACGTGACAGGAAGCCCCTGTGCCTTTTCTCCCCACGAGCGGCGCTTGTTGGCCCTCTCTGGGCCAGACGGGCGGCTTCGCGTGTGGGAGACGGCCAGCAGCCGCCTCCACCACGAGTACGTCCCCTCTGCCCACCTCAGCGCCGCTTGTACCTGCCTGGCCTGGGCACCGCCGGGCGTCGGAGGAGGCCGACCGCCTCCCAGCAAGGTATTCAAAGAGTGGACTTGGCCGGCGGCAGCGCCGCCAAGAACGGACATTCTGGGTTGCGTTTTACGGGGCCTGGGCCTCCGTGCCCGGCCATGTGGAAGCGCCCATGTCCAGCAGCGAGGCGGGGCCTGTCACTAGGGGTGTGGGGGGGGGGGCGCCAGAGGGAAGAAAATGTGTGTGTGTTGGGGGGAGCGAAGCCTCTTCTAATTGGGATAAAATCACAGCAATCCGTGCGGGCTTTCCCCCCTTCGCGTGCAGTTGCAGCCACGTGCAATTGGGGCCTCCGCGGCGCCCTGCTTTTTCTTAAGGACGGAGGAGCGCGTGAGGACGGATCTGCCAGCTACTCTTTCCCCTTCCCGATTGCCTTCGCCTTTTTGAACATCTCTCCTTTATGCAGCCCAGATCCCCACCGGGATTCTTCGGGGCCGAAGCAGCACATGTGTGCTCTCGCTCGCTCTCCTGGCTCCGCCCCTCCCCGTCACATGGAGGCTGAAGAAGAGAAAAGAAGACGCTGCTGCTTTCAAATGCGTCGGGGTTCACGCCACTCGTGACTTGGTAGCCTCAGCGCTCTCTTAAAAAGAGATTTAGTTCTCGTTCTTCTTCCCCAGCCGGGGGTGCTTCGTACAAAATTCGGAAGATAAGAGCATCGATCTCAGGAAAAGGAAAGCCACGTCGAAATCTACTGTGGGCCTAGATATTTTCGTGTTACCTGCGCTTCCGATCTAGTGGCCACCTCTGTTCTTTCCCAGTTTGTTGGTAACTTTGGCATCAAGACTGGTGTGGCACATACGTGCTCACAACAAAGCTCCATTTTGCAGTATTATGTGCAGTTTTTGTGCTCACAAGAAATGTGTACCTAGAAGTGGGTTTTGTTTTTAGACTGGAGTTCCTAAAGGCATCTTTTAGGTTTGATCTCCATTCCAGCTGTAACCCTAAGTGACCTCTTCAGTTATTCCAATTTAGGTGGAGAGATTTAGCATGTAAAGCCTACATATCATTCTGAGTTGGCTACCTGACTGTGATAGGGATGTGCATGCATGCACCCATATTCAGATCTACTTCAGTTGTGCTCTATTTTTTCGTAAAATATATGGTACTTCGAACAGGATTTTACATTTCTCCACTCCATCAGATTTGGTCTATAGTTAATTGTTAGAGTATTTAAAAGTAATGTATAATATCTGTTTATAAATTCAGACAATTAAAATGCTTTTGAATATTTGTTAAGCTTATTAATCACAACTACTCTTTTTAGTTTTTCAAGATCTTTATGCATCCATTTTTATTTCAATAGATATAAAGTGGCAAAATAAAGTATTTGTTAATAAAGTGAGATTGTGGGAGTATTGTTGTTATATTGAGATTGCAATCCTGTGTTGCTTGAAAATGAATGAAAATGTGTAGATTGTTACTGATGAGAGAAAAGCTTGCTAGTTTATCAAAGGGAACTTAAACATGTAAATGAAAGGGAGCATTTGCTCAGTAAACATTCCTGAGGAATGAAAGGATTGTAATGAAAAGAGTGCACGTTCCTGTATTGTATCCCAATTTTTGTCACTTGAACTTTACCTGTGTATTACCACTGTTTTTTAAAAAAGTGTTGCAGATCTTAAAAGTTTATCCAATTACTGTGTCATTTCAGGCATGCAAAGTTTACTTGTGGAAAAATTTTCATTGTCCAAATATTAAAATCCAACGTTCATGTTCACAACTCAATACAATTTTCATTATATTTAAGTCTCAAATAGTTAATATGTTGCCCTCCATTTACTGTTGGATTGTACTTCTTACAGCTATCAAAACTGGGAGATGCTGTAAAATGGATAATTTTAATGGAGAAAGACCAAGAAAATTCTGTGGAAACAAACATCCAGATAGGGTGCCCAACGATAGACAAGAGGAATCCCAGTTGCTGAGGCAGCCAGTACAGAAACATGTCTGCATTGTACAGAGATACATTGGATAGCCACGTGGAACTTCAAAGGAGTGAGTCAGTAAATTAGGTGTTGTGAAATGATCAGATTGGAAATTGATCTCCTTGGTGTTAGTGAGCTACACTGGTCAGACATTGGCTTTTTCCAGTCTGAGTACTGTACTGTCATTCAGGACATGATAGCAGGAAATATGGAGAGGCATATGGAGAGGCACCGTAAGTAGAAAATTTGCTAGAGCAGTGAAAAGCATCTCAGCTGCCAGTAACAGAATTATGACCATCAGAATTTGTGCTGAGCCCCTCAACTTCACAGTTGTCCAAATATGCCCCAACCACTGCTGCAGCAGAGCTTGAAACAGCTTTTATGCCATAGTTTAAGAAACTACGAAACAAGTGCACCCAAAAGACATTGTTTACATCCTGGGTGACTTTAATGCAAAAACAGGCAAACAAATGGACACAGGCATCACTGGTTGTTTTGGACTAGGTGAAAGAATTGTCATATTTAGGATCATGAATACATGGTTCAAATAGCACAATTGCCACTTAAGTACTTGGACCTCACCAAATGGACTTCATCATAATTCAAGTACTGATTGTGATTCAAATTAGCTGTCAATGGCAAAGATTAAAGTCAAATTATGCAGCATCAAAAAGGCAGTGCCTCCAAAGAAGTTTGATGTCTCCAAAATCTCTACTACGTATACAATTGAGGTGAAAAGTAGGTTTGATCTACTGGACACTATTGAGAAGACACCTGATGAACTGTGACAGGAAATTCAATCGACCATTATTGGCATTGCAGAAGAACACATACCATACAAGAAGCCAGAGAAGAAGTGCAAGTGACTCCCAAATAAAACCATCAAGAGAAAGCAAAGAAAACCAACCAAGGCAGCCGGCAAATGGGATGAAATAAAAACTAAATGCAAGTCAAAAAGATACAAGCACCATTTATTGCCCATAAAAGCATAATTAAAAACAAGGGAAAGAACTGTTGTACCAACAAGGCATCAAGAACAGATGGCAAAAATATACTGAAGAGCTGTACGCAGGTAGCAAAGAGGCCTTCCCTCCGGATGATGAGGAAAGAAGTAGAAGTTCAACCGGCCATTCTTGAAGAGATCAGGGTCTACCTATGGTTGTGAAACAACATTTTGGGCATTATTTAAAATCAGAATTGAAAATTTATTTCAAGTTATGGTTTCCAGTTTTGATATGGAGGTAAACTAAAATAGAGAAGCCATTGAAATGAACAAGATGTGGATCAGGAGACCCTGAATTATGTTTGTAACAAGTCAATCTGAGTTTGGGAGATACGTTTGAAACAGATTCATGTTGTTATGCCTTCTAGCTTAGAGGTAAAGTTTTGAATGAGATTTGAAGCATTGGTATGTTTGAAGCAATGCATATAAAGTTTTATACATGTTGATCTAAGATCTTTGAAATCAGATATTGCAGGGTTTTTTTGGCTGAGGTGGTTTGGAGAAATTACAAAGTATAACTCTTGTGGTTTCCATAGTTTTTAATTCCAAATGTATAGTAAACTATATAGGAGCTCAAGAGTTGGAACTGCAAGTCAGAGATAGAAGTAATTTTAATTTGAGACGTATAGGAGATGAGAAATATATTTGCAGTGATCAATGCAGAGGGAGATGGAAATAAAGGGGCCTTGTAGACCTATGGTGAACAGTAGCAGGAGGAAGCACTGTCTACAAAAGATACACTTGGAGAATTAATAGGTTCCGAAAGAGAAGTGATGATTCAGTTAGATATAGAGGAAGAAAAAGGAATTATTCTTAACAACTCATTAGACAGCTATTGTTGCAGAAATAGGTTGTTACTATTACTAAAGCAAGGCACCTTTCTTAATTTGAAAAAAAAAACGATTTGAGTATTTTGAACTGTTCCTAAGTACTATTAATAAGAAGGCTATTATATCAGATTAAATCAATGTTTATGGTCACTGATGAATGTTCGTGTTTGCTCAGCAGAATTGAAGGTTCTTTATATTAGCTGGATTTTAACAAGATAAAGATGACTGTTAGGTTTGAGCTTGGATTATGTTGATAGAGCAATTCAGCACTCTTTCCAAAGTATACAAAGGCATGAGGATTCTATGTTTATGGCTCCTGACAATTTTGAATATACTTTTGTAAAATTCTTATTTAATATCCAGACTACTTTAACTCTTTTACAGGAAGGTCCTCAAAGGAAGAAGAGGAAATCTGAAGTTGTAGAAACAGCTGAACAGTTAGATCTTTTGGCTATTGGTACTGCTGTTGGCGGGATTTTATTATACAGCACAGTGAAAGGAGAATTACAGAGTAAACTAGTAAGTATGACATAGCATTTTTCTGTTAAGAGATATTTGACTTAAAGTTGTTAAAGTAAAGCTGAGGTGTGCAATATTCTTTCAGTCTGGAGATAGCAGTGTGATTTTTTTTTTTAATCTGTCCGATGCTACAGAGTAATGGTAACACTAGCAAAGTGGTTGAAGCTACCTATTTCAGTTTCATAGTCCTCCCAATGTGCTAGGAGTATTACAATGTAAAAAATACTTAAAGATGTTTTTCTGTCTTGAGTTAGGAGACGTAAGATGTAAAATTGGTGCTTTCAGAAATAAAGCATCTAAAGATGGTGACTTTGCCTCTTAAAACCTACCTATGTGATAAAAATGGCTAGTTTTGGAGGGCAGTTTTAGGGGATTTAAAGATGGTTGTAAGTCGAGGACTACCTGTAAAGCATTTTGGCCACAACTGGTTTGATGAAAGTATCGCGATACTTGCTGATAACTTTTCTTTTTACCTAGAATGGGCATGACAGTAAAATAAACTGCATACGGTGGCATCAGGACAATGGTTGTTTATATAGCTGTTCAGATGACAAACATATTGTGGAATGGAATGGGCAGACATGTAAAGTGAAGTGGTGAGTCTGGCCGAACATATAAGTCTCTCGGAATTTCTGTTTTGCTATCAGATCAGTTTAGCTTAGGTAGAATTGAGTAATGTAATGTAAAGAATGGATAAGATGTTTTTTCATCTCTAAACATTAAAATGAATATTATTTGCTTATAAATAATATTAAAACTAAATTTACAAAAACAATGAGAAAATAACATTACGGACATTATTAAGAAACACTGTCTCAAACATATAGCAGCTATCCCATTAAGAGACTGCCTCTCAGTCTAACCCAAGGCCTAGGTTAAGAATCAGGTTTTAAGGGCTCATTTGAACAAGGCCAGGTTAGGGGTAGTACAAAATTTGGGGCGGAGGGATGCCGTTATAGAGGCAGGCATTGTGACAGAGAAAACCTGCTTCCTAAGTCCCATCAGGTGGTAAAGCTTAATTGAAGACCCTGAAGCATGCCAACTCGATTGGATAAACGGGGTCAGCGTATATTACAGGAGACAGGTACTGTAGTCCCTCAGAATTGTTGAAATAAACTAAATCAGGAAAAAAATAATTCATGACATTTGTCTCCACCAAAGGAAATTCCTATATAGTTCCATTTTTATAGAAATATCCATTCATTGTGATTAATCCCATATACATGGATGTTTCTGAATTAGTAAAACTCGATTGCTTTGTCATTTAAAGTGCTTGAATCCTAACTTAATTTTTATTCAGCAGCCCAATTCCTTTATTTAAATTTAGATATGTTTTCAATCCAGTGGAACAGTTAACTAACATAGCTAGCATTATAATATAATGATTATGCAAATATTGTCTTGTGAGCTTCATGAATATATCTAATGCTTGACTTTTAAATCAAGGTGTAATAAATATTTGCTCATAGTTTACCTTGTAAGGGAAAACTACCTTAAAGTTGCAAGAGACGAAAGCCACATTGCAGATAACATCTTTTTGAGATGTAATGTAAAATCCAGGACTAAAACTTTAACCCATTGTTAGGTATATAAACCTCTTCTATTTATGATCTTTACTTTTTGTAAAGGGAGGAAATTGTAAAGAAACTATTCTTCAAACTATTGGTTATATATGAGGAATAAAACAGTAAACAAAAAATTGCATAAGCAAATTGGCCTATTTCATTTATTAATTTCAAAAGTGCAGTCTTCAAGTACTTTCAGTTAAAAAACAAATAACCTGCTGTGATGATATCCAATTGGTTTCATTCACTTCTGATACCTAGTGAGGATAATTTTCTCTTGGCTGTCTGAGCAGGCTGTCTTCAAGTCAAAATTTAATAACTTGAGTATGAGTTAAAGGTTATCAAATAGCATGGTAAGTACACAGTTGGGAAAGTCCAGAATTACACATATTTTTCTTTAATTTCTCAAATGTTAAAATAAGGGTTGGACAGAATATCTTTTAAAGGTAGTGAAAGTAGACATAATATTTTTCAAACCTCTCTGGATATAAACTATAACACAAAGTGAATTAAAATGTTAAATAGGAATCTAGACTTTAGGAATCCAATTAACAGGCTTTGGTATTCCATGCATTTTTCAGAAATGTCTTAAGGCCCTACAAAGTTCTCATTGAGAAGACTACCACCTTTAGTTAAATGGAGTGGGTGTTTGTAAGAGTAATTTTGTGAATAAGCATAATTTCTAAAACAGTGATATTGTGTACATGCTGCCAAAATTATAAATGTCCTTCTTACTGAAATGTCATGGGAAAGCAGCTTAACCATGTACTTTCACTCTTTGGTTGATTTTTTTCTGGCTGCTCAGAAGTTACCAATTCAAGGAATATTTTGGGTTTAGATTCTGAATCAAAGTCTCAGTGATTTAAGACATTCAAGTGCTATTTTCCAACTTAACAGATATATATTTATATATTATTTCTTTTAGCTTTGTTAAACAAGTCTTCATTGCAGTAATTTTTAATTTATTTTTCTTAAATTCCTTAGTAAATGGAAAGGAGATAACAGCAGTGTGAGCTCATTATGCATCAGTCCAGATGGAAAAGTACTACTTTCAGCAGGTCGAACTATCAAACTGTGGGACTTGGAGACCAAAGAAGTCTATAGAGTAAGTATTCAGAGACACAGTGAACCTAAATGATCTTAACTCCTTAATGAATTGCTTTATTTCATAATATTAGCATAGTTGGAGACTGCTGGTCAGTTTGCTGTGATGATACCTTTAAAATGTGGTTTCAGCTGGCTGACAGTTGAATGAGGACATGAAATTCCTTGGCTGTGTCTGAGCACTGCCCACAGCAGTACTTGACAACCTTAATCTGAGTTCCTGGAAATACTATTGCTGTATATATCACAGGAATGATACCTGGCTTGGTGTTCGTTAATTATGAAAGAATTACTGATTCTTGAATCCACTATTTTGGAAAAGATAATTATTTTTACCATTACAGTATTATATGTTAACAATGAATATGAATATACGGTAGTGGCCAAAATTGTGGAAACCTTTTGGGAAAAGTGTACATTTGAGGTTTGATGGTTAATAACACCACTTTTTTTGGAGTACCATAAAATTATATATCAATGGAAAGATAATTTAATCAAGAATGTAATGCAACAAAGTTCGTTCAATTATCTGTATTCTGTGAAATGTTATAGCCAGATAACCAGAAAAAGGAAGCACAACTTGTTTAGGTTGATATCAGGTAGCTTTCCTTCATCTGATTGTAGCCAATGAGCATGAGTGTTTACAGAGCCAATCAGGTGTCATTTTGTTTTGGCAATGAGCCAATCAGATCACAATAGGATTCAGTTATTGATGTCATGTATTGAAGCTGAGGGGGATATTTGTCAGTGTGTTATGCGATCGCTATCAAATTGGTTGGGTTTTTATATGTTCTTTCATTTAGTGAGCTTGTAAAACATAATAAAATAATGGTGCAAAGAGTTGACTGGTCGCCCAGAAAGCGATGTAAAATAGTATTATTAAGTGAACAAGGCTACAATTATAAGGAAATTAGAAGAAAAATTGGTGGAAACTTAACCAAAGGTGGCATTTCTAAGTTTTTGAAGAGGTATAAGGAGACTCAGTCACTAAAAAACGACACTGGTAAAGGCAGGAAAATATGCACAACAGCAAGTGATGATAGAAGAATTAAGAGACAGTGCCTACGTGACAGAAGAAAATCATCTGGGTGTATACAAGATGAAATGGTGCAATGCAGTGTGAAGTTGAGTGCAAGAACTGTTTGGCGCAGACTGTAGGAATTTGGCCTAAAATCTAGAATTCCCCGAAAAAAGCCACTTTTATCTCTCAAACAAAGGTTGAAAAGACTAAACTGGGCTAAAACCGGTGTTACCTGGACAGAGGAACAATGGGACAGTGCTATTTGGAGTGATGAGACCAAGATCTCCCTGTTTGGTAGTGATGGCATAAAATACGTAAGGAGAAGAATTGGAGAAGATTTGCATCCTGATTGCATTACATGTACTGTGAAACACCCAGTCAGTATTATGATCTGGGGTTGTATGACATCAAAAGGTGTGGGCAGAATTTGTGTGATTAATGGGAATATAAATGGCCAAAAATACATTAATGAAATACTTGAGCCCAAATTGAAGCCTTCCGCACATGATCTTTTCCAAGACAATGAAGTGTTTATATTTCAACAGGATTCAGCTCTATGTCATGTTGCTGCTGTGTGCAAAAAGTGGTTTCAAGATAATCATATTCCACTGCTGGAATGGCCGGGAATAGCCCAGACCTTAACCCAATTGAAAATCTATGGAGCCGACTAAAGAAACTTGTTAGTCAGAAGCGACCTAGCAATACCAAGTTAATAGAAGCAATCATTCAGTCTTGGTTGCACATTATAACGGCTGCAGAACTAAAGGACTTGGTTCACTCCATGGGAAGACGTTGTAATTCATGCTAAAATGATATAGTGATAATTTTTGTATATCTGGTTTTTTTCTACGTGTTTCACTTTTCTTCTTTATAACTGATGTTCTAATAGCAAATCCTTCATAAAAGTTATTGCATTACATTCTTGATTAAATTATCTTTCCATTGATAGATAATTTTATGGTACTACTCCAAAAAAAGTGGTGTTATTAGCCATCAAACCTCAAATGTACACTTTTCCCAAAAGGTTTCCAAAATTTTGGCTACTACTGTAATGCTCTCTGCATATACCATACCTTGGGGTAAAAGTGTTAGCCAGTTTCTTGTTATTCTGAGACATTTGGTTGATTTTTAAACCCTAATCCTGTTTAATGTTGTCTTCCATGGAAATCTGAAAGAATAATTGGTAGAATCAATTTATCACATTATTGAGTGATAAAGACTGAGTCTACTGGAAATCAGTGTTCGAAAGTCTTGTTGCAGCCCAGCAGAAGTAATTGTATTTTTTTGTGGTAAAAAATAAATTATCAATTTCACTCTTCATTTAGCGCAACAGAAAACTTAAATTCCTGGCTGTGATTATATTTAAAAAGAGTTCCCTTCCATCCATGCTGCTTTTTATTCTGAAGCTAAATTCATTCCCTATATTCTTGTCAGGATATAGACTCTCAACTTTGGAATTTTTTATGCATTTTAAACACTATGTCTTCCTGATCAGTTTAAATGACATTTCCTCTTCAGCATTTCACAGGACATGCTACAGCAGTTTCAGTGCTTAAGTTCATCACAATGTGGCCTCCAGCTGAAAATCAACCATTTGATGGAATTACAGGCCTCTATTTCTTATCTGGAGCAATGCATGACCGGTTACTCAGTGTGTGGTATGTATTTTTTTCAAACTCTTTAACAATCATTGTTTGATAATAATCTTTAGTCCCAAAGTAAGAAATAAAAATATGATATAAATGAGGTTTGTAGATCACTGCAGTGCATACATATAATATAAAATTAACCCACAGACTTGCATATCGTTGTAGAAGAGAATTTCTCGGTTATTCTGTGAATATTCTGTAAAAAAAAAAGTGCCATGCAGTAACAATAGCAGATATATATTATTGCTTTAGCATAACAATACCTCATGGCAATCTAAAAAATATGGTGAAATAAAAACAGTTTACCAACCTGAAAGTCCTACCACTTCAAACATGGTCCTTTCATCACAGTGCTTCTCATAATGTTTCATTCGGGCCACCAGGCCTTGCATCTCTTTGTTGCATTGCTTGCATTTTGCATACCTGCTTTACCCGTAGGTAGAGGAACGTCATTAAAATATTCCCAAACTGGGTCTCTTGTACTGCCTGATGCCATTTTGCTCTTCAAGGGAGGAATAATGCACTTCAAGCTATGTGCAGAAAGATCACAAGGTTTATAAGCTGCTTAGAAGGTTTCACTTTCATTTTTACTGCTTGCCCTTCCTCCTCACACTTAGAGCCTGGTACAGATGCATTTCTCTTCAAACAATCATGCAGTTTGTATTGTATTGCAAAACAATGGGATAAAGGAATATTCTTGAACTTTGTTTTATGATTTACCTCTTCATCATCATCATCATGGTTATTGTGAAATTGTATGAATGCATCAATGCAGTGCATGTTATCTCAGCTTGCAGAGATTGGATTCATTGAATGAGTTTACCAAAAATGTAAATATTGCAGGATATACAGCCTCATGCTTCATAACTAAGCTCCATTTCATGCTGAATGAACTAAATTATTAATGTATCTTAAATAGAAAACTATCTTTGGATAGATTTTTTACTCCAAAAGTATTTTATTAAAATAAATTCAATCAAAATAAAAAAAATCCAATTTAAATAAAAAAAATTGATTTTTAATTTTTTTTTAAAATCATCGATTATCATCCACCCTGATCAGTATGCTTTTTGTGCAGTTGGTTGGCCACTGTGGGAATAGTCTGCTGTACTAGATTGGCTAGAAGTCCAATCCAACACGGCATTACTTACATTCTTTTGCTCTCCAAAATAATTTTTTATTTATATGTCTGCATTTTTTTAAAACATGTCCTACTTTCCTCAAGGCAGGTGAGGTCAGGCAGGAAAGAAAAGAATGCTGTAATGAGTTTCACAGTAACAGATGAACCAATCCACATGGACTTGACAATATCAGAAAGCAAAGAACAGGTAAGAAATGTATCTTATTTTTTCAGCATTGATCTTCTCTAGTGCAACAGTTGAAACCACTTTAGATAACTGTGGAAGGTAAATTAAAAGCTGGCAATTTTTAAAAATCTGGTTTAACGGCAAAATTAAAATGAATTAATGATCTCTGTTTTGTGCCATCTGGATTTTCATAGAACCATATTTCTAGATGATCCATAATTTTTGGTATTGATTTTATATATAGGTAGTCCTCGACTTATGACCATAATTGAGCCTAAAATTTCCATTGCTAAGCAGCAGTGAATTTTGCCCCATTGTTATAGTTATTAACTGAATCGCTTCAGTTGTTAAGTTGGTTGTAAGTGGACAACTACATGTAATTGGTTTCTGTTTATAGTTCTCTGTTAATGATTTCTTCCATGTTAATCAGTATATTCAATTTAAAGTTCATTACAAATAATATCTATACATTATCTTTTGTTTTCTTTTTTGTTTTTATATATGTTTTTATTTTTTACTTTATTTTTCAAATTTATTTAATTTTTTTAAATAAAATTTTGAAAATGGTAAAAATGAAAAGGATGAATTTATCTTTCTCAAATACAGTGATTTAGATCACACATAATGTCATGGCAATATGGTTTGTGACTTCCTGGCTTGGTGTGATAAGTAAATCATCCAAGAAAAGAATCCATAGTCCCTTTTTTAAATAAATGCTGCACAATCACAGTTAGTTTATACATTCTGGCTTTTTATGTCTGAAAGGGAATAATGGTTTATTTCTGTTTTCTTATGTACATTGTCCAAAATTTGAATAATGCCAGGAAGAATGAAAAGGAAGTTAACCAAGAGTTGCCCAAAGAATTTGTAGCTATAAAAATTCTTTACTTAGCTTTACATATATCCATCTAAACTGGTACTTCCATTGAAATGATTCATAAAGAAAAGTACTTGAACCTATAATTAAATCAAGAGTACGTAGCAAATTCCGTATTTTAGGAATATCGCTCACATCGATATCCTTTATGCTATTTTTTTCCCCAAAATTGTATTAATATTTGTAGAAATGGGAAAAAATGCAAAATTACTATAGAAACAAGTCCAAATTATATGAGTTAAAAAATCTTCAAATTTCTTATATTGCTAGCATAAAAATCAGTTTTGCATTTTTTAAACATTATTTGTAGGGCTGGTAAACACAAAAACTGTCATGATTAATGATGTTCATTTTTAAATTGTAAAGTATATTTCACATTTTTTAAAATATGACAATCCATTGATTCTCCAAAATGGAATATTCACATTTTTCATTCCACAGCTGAGATAAATAATATTGATTGTCTTGTCACTTTGTTAATACTTCATAAAATTATTTGCTTCTGTTCAAGCCTGTATAACTAAAAGGAGCTAAAATTGCAAGTACCTTGGAGGCTGCTATACCAACCAAATTTTACTGTTTAAATCGGTGCATGTTTTAATTGCATATATTATCAGGTATAAGTTGCAGTGTCTTAAGTAAAACAACATGTAGAAACCACTTCTTTTAAACTGCTGGGCTCAAATATTCCAGTGGGCGTGGCCACTTCCATAGCACCATTAAGTAGAAGGAGGCATCTTCCACCTCATCCTGAAAGATGCAACAGTGCCAGCTTCTTTCTCTAGTCCCAAACAGAGCTCCAGTCAGAAATTTTGAAAAATGCCAGGGAGGATGTGGGCTATTGGTATTCATGGAACTAGTTCGGGGGGGGGGGGAACCTTGGCTCTTTTATGACTTGTGGAATTCAACTCCCGAAATTCCTGAGCCGCTAGCGCAGGAATTCTGGGAGTTGGAAGTTCACAAGTCGTAAAAGAGTTAGGGTTCCCCACCCCTGAACTAGATAATGCTGAAGGTTGGCTGCTTTGCTTTGCAATAGGAAAAGTTTCCCATTTAATTTAATGTTGTGAGATGGAACATCTCTTGGACCAAAGAGAAGTATCTGTGTTGATAGCTACAAGTATTGCATTGAAGAATCTAGTGTTAGTTTAGGCTCTTAGATTGCGTGAAGCTGTTACTGAAAATGAAAATATTCAGTTATTTCAGGGTTTGACAAAGGTTTCCATGTCTATGTATTTTAAAGAGGGAAATTTTGATTGAAATCAGTAATCATATATTTAAGCTGATTTATTTTAAATCTCATTCTGTTTAAGATAAATGGTTACTTAAAGTTGGATAAACTGGATTATGGCATATTTTAACTTGATGGTGATTTGTTTTTTCCAGCCAGTGAAGATAGCAGTGGTATGCAGGGATGGACTGCTGCATTTATTTGAGCAAGTTTTGAATGGGTAAGTTAGGATTTTAAAAAGAATCATATGTTTAATCTGTTTTTAAAAAGAAACAAGCCTGTAGAATTACTGAGACAAGTTCCAATAGTAATAAAATTTACCCAATAATAATAACAATTCACTGGTATATCTAAATATTTTCCAAGCTAAAGCAATGACCTATGGGCTCCATTCTTTATAAATCAAGTGTGGAATTCCATTCACATAAGGATCTTTTTTTCTTTCTTTTCCTACTGCACTCAGTAAGTGTCCTTCCCATACCTGTATCAGAAATTCAGGACTCACTGTTGTTGTTGTTAATTGCGAAATCGTGTCTGACCCATCGCAACTCGCTGTAGCAGGTTATGGGGGGGGGGAGACTAAAACAGCACAGAAAAAAGGCATCTTTTTTCTCAATAGATTACAGTTCCTCTAAAACTGGATGAAACCTTGTAAAATTGGATTATTTGAATTTAGTAAATTGTCAGATTTATCATTTTGGCCCAAAGATTTTATTAACACATTAGAGAAGAGTAGGCATAGTGTTCCTCTAACATTCCTGTGTAGAGTTCTTCTAGTTTCCAGGTCCAGTTATGATTTTCAGAGTGTTGTTAGTGATATGAAATCTGAAGAATTTTCTTAGTTACAATGTGATCTTAGCCTAATTTTCAGCATGTGTTTGTGTGTATAAATGTATATGTGTGTATGTGTATTTTAACCAAGTTGCCATACAGATGCTTTATATAACTTGTTGCATCATACAATATTAGATTGTACCTACTTAACTGAATTTATGTAAGCTTGTAGCCAGGCTAATAACTGTGATTATTAAATATATAATAATAGTAAGTGAAACCATTAAGGTTCACAGTATAAATGTTGCATTGGTTATATGTTCAACAAATTGTTTTTCTGTAGCTATTGCAAAAAGCCCTTGGCATCCAAATGTACAATCCAGATAGCAACTCCCGGAGAAGGAAATGATTCCACACCAAAGCCAGTCCCTATCCTAGCAGCTGCATTTTGTTCAGATAAAGAATCATTGCTACTTGTGTATGGGAATTCCTTATATCCTGTTATTGAGAAAGTGGTATGTATGGCTTTCTTAAATTCCAAGCTAGTATTTTAATAACATAATTTTTTTAGTTTGAAGTTCTAGATAAAATTCATTTTCTCTAAGTAAAATGCTTTCTAAATAAAATTCTATATTTTATGTGTTTTCTTCAAGAAATACTGATTTCAGAATAAAAAAAATCTTAACTCTGCACACTATGTATAGTTAAATGTTGTTTAATAATTATATTTTACTAGGACTATTAGGGCGGAGATTAACTGTTTAAACCACTAAATATGCTTTGGAAAAAAGAACACCCACAAAACTATTAAAGTTTTTTTTTTTGTCACCCTCTTTTAGACTTTGAATACTACAGAAAGACACATCTGCTTTGTAAGGGACGTTCAGAAGACTCTGACCCTGAAAACAGAAATGGCTGTAACAAAGGTGAGATTTAAAATCCATATTTGTTCCCTAACTAGATATGTTAGTTATTACGAAATGAGATGGCGCTTAACAAGATTAAAATATAACAGTATCCCAGATTTTTGAAAATACAGATGTTTTGTAAATGAGTAAAACTTAAAGCAGTTTGCCTCCTTTACTTCAGTGATATCCAGCAAATTCTGTTCTTGGTTGAGTTAATCCAGTTAAACATCTGTATTGCACTAAGAATGCATACATGCTTGCTTTACTCATATTTTGTTTACCTGCATGCTTATATGGATGAATAAACCAGTGCTACAAGTTAGCTACATGGCTTATGATATGCTAATCCATGGAACAGAATGCTTACAGATCCTTGGATGTGCTATGATGACCTTTTTACTGGTTTCACTCATCACTGAATTTCCTCTGATGATGCCTTCTCTTGGCTGGCTGAGCACATTGATTGGATAGAATAATGGTAGAAAGGGATTGCTGTCTAAAGTATTTTGGTTTGCTATTATAGAATATAATTCTCTTTTTTCACAATTTTCTGACTGTATAGCAAAACTTCAATGGATTATTTTGTGGAAGGAGTATCTCTTGAATTGAAAATTTGCATTCATTCTTTGGACTGATTTATCAACGACTGACTTTTTTGTTATTTAAGGGTGAAGTCCAAAGTCAGTTTTGTTGGTTCTGTCTATCACAATTTTAATATACTTATTTATTCTGCAAATAATTTGTAGCATCTTTAATAATATACACAACACTGGTCATTTCTAAAGAAAATAGGATGCAGGTCCTCAGCAACTAGATAGCAAAGATGAAATTTTAAGGACATTTATTTTTTACGAAAACTATGTTAATTTAGATTCATATTTTCTGTAATATACATAGTACATAAATTGCATCCAGCAGTGGGAATCAGCAGTTCTGTGTATAGTGTAAAATAGCTACTGTGGGCTCTTAATTGAATTCCATAAGTGATAGATATAAATGTGTTGTGCTTCTTTGAGAATAAAAGAAAAGGCATAAAAATTCCAGGGAGTTTATTCTTTCATAATGTTTCAGTGCAGATTAAATACAGGTAGTCCTTGTCTTACAACAGTTCATTTAGGGACCGTTTGAAGTTACAGCAGCACTGAAAAAAGTGACTTATGACCATTTTTCACACTTATGACCATAGTCACATGATCAAAATTCAGATGCTTGGTAACTGACTCTTGTTTATGATGATTGCAGGGTCCTGGGGTTATGTGATTGTCTTTTGCGAAATTGTGACAAACAAGGTCAATGGGGATGCTTGGTTTATTTAACAGCTGTGCTACTAACCTAATAATTGCAGTGGTTCACTTAACTATGGCAAGAAAGGTCGTAAAATGCGGCAAAATTCACTTAACAAATGTCTCACTTAGCAACAGAAATTTTGGGCTCAATTGTGATCATAAGTCGAGGACCGCCTGTACAAGAAAATAATGGAAGGCCCTGTGAATTTTGCTACAAAGGGCATAAAAATATTTGGAAAGATGAGCCATATTTTCATCATATTTTCACCCTTTTAATCAATATACATCTGAAGAATTCCATCAGAGTTTATTTAGCTTTTATCTCCTTACTGGAATAAAACCCTTATTTGAACTATAAAATATTGATCATATATTTTGGAAGGTGTAGTGTACAATTGCATCCTCAATTACTACCACAGCATGAGTTCGAACGTGTGTGTGTGTGTGTGTGTGTGTGTGTGTGTGTGTGTGTAAGGGTGTCAATTGACAAAGAAATGATAGCAGTTTTGTATTTATGGATGCCGTAATTGGGCTTCTCTCAAATTTATGATTATGAAGAAATGTGCACTTTACTAAGGGAATTTTTTTGGGAAATTTCTCTAGGATTGTAAATTGTCATATATATGAACTACCTGTTCAGTGCAATTTTTTTAAAAAGAAAAGGTTTGAGTTTTAATTAAATTACTTATTCAGATGTTGATTAAAAATATTAAATACAGAACATAGTGCTACTTGGATACATATAAATATCTTTCTTCCCTTTAAAATCAGGTGAAAACTCCTGTAATCAACTCAGAGGTCAAAACATTAGTGCCTGGGATTCCTGGTCATAGTTCAGCTGTGAAATCTTCAGTATGCAGGGATAAAAATAAAAGGAAGACAGATGGCAAAGAGGTAATTGTTCTCCATACACTATTTTGCATTTAACCTAAGCCAATTGCTGAATATTCAGCCCTCTGCTTTGTTATGTTGCATACTGTGAATTAGCACTTACTGATTTTTTTTAAAGTATAATTAATTTTCAGGCTGTGTTCTGAGAATGTTTAGTTTCCTCAGAGAGGAAATACAGACTTTACAACATATTGATTTTCCTGAAAAAAAGTATTCCCACCACTGGAGAATATTAGGTGCATTCTAAACATTGTGTTTTTTTCATGTAGGCAGAGGCAAAGTCCAAGGATATAATTTCACATGAACAAAATAGGTGGCCCAAAATACTGAGAGAAACTTCTGTGTCTGTTAAGTCAATGCCATCCCTTTCTCCAGTGGGAAGAAGGACATTACTCCTTTTTTTTGTCTTCTGTTAGTGGAAGGAGAACAGTAGAGTAAGTCTGGCTATAGATCCAGTCATTGTTTAGAATAAAAAATACAAAATACAACATACATAAGAAAGATGCTATGTAGATCAATAACTGAAGAGTCAAAATTGATTTTTCTGTTAGTGATGGAAATGTGCTCTGTGATGGAAATGTGATTTGTGGCAGCAAAGTTTGACCAAATCTCTTCCCTTTGTATGTATTGGATTACAAGTCCCACTATCTATAGCGAGAGTGAAGATTGGATAAAATTGTTTTATATCTACTGTTGCTCTTGGTTTTGAGGATTGGTTTTCTAAATTCAGAATGTTTAAGCTCAAATGATCTCTGACTCTGGATTTTATCATGCCTTTACACCTTGAAGCACAATAAGTTATTAATTTTGTTACATGCAGTTATAGTGTTGTAAAAGGGAGATGCTCACCTCAGGTGGCACAAAAATGCTAACTTGTGTAATTTTTTTTTAATTTCCAGGAGAGTATTGAAGACCGCCTTAGTGCTATGGATATTGATGTGATGAAAGTAAAACAGCCATCCGGAAGCCTTCCACAGACTGATAATTTTGCAGTGCTTTTGGTTCAGGGTTTGGAAAGCAGTGATCCTGTGATTTTAAATGTAAGTGTTAAATGTAATACGATGACTGGAGAGGATCTCTATAACATCGCAAAATTATCAAAACTTGAAACTTCATTATATTTAGAGTGTTGCAGTATTTTGTGTCTTTATGGCATTGTAGCAAATAATTCAGAATAGTGACATAGAAATCTTTTGATAAAAGAATTTTGAAGGTCTTTGCTTTTTACTTATCTAAATGACCTAAATTAGACTTTTACGTTTTCAAGCTCAACTATATTGCCACTTTTTGAAGGAAAACAATGAAACTAAATTTCATATCTATGCTATGATTAAAAGCCATAAGCCTTGGTAGTTTTGGCATCTACTGATAACATGGTGCCATCATTGACCCCTTTTTTTTTTTAACAGAAAGTGCTTCAAACCAAGAAGGAAGCAGTAATAAAGAAAACAGTAGCCAGAATTCCTGTATATTCTGTTATTCCACTACTGCATGAGGTAAAAGATTTAATATTGACTACTGTAATTCTAGCTTTTCTAGTGTACCTTTAGTAAAATTTTAAGCTACTTGTTCTAATTACGTAATAAATAGATCTGATATATTTGTAATCCAGAGAAAAGAGATCATTGATTCCCCAAATTTTTGGCCTGCTGTGTCTTGTTTAAGTCAGCCTTGAAAAGCAACTTTTATGGATGTTTACTTATCACAAGGTAAACATTTCTCTAGTCTGATGTACTTAAAGTGAATTAAGAGTCATTGTGGGGGAAAAAAAGTCCATTGTATAGAATTTATTTAGTTTATATACTTCTTACAGTAGAATTATTATTATCACTAAATTCTTATCCAGTCTGTTATGTATTTGCTACATATATATTATTTTTTGGCCATTTGGTTCCTGTATGTATTGTGTACCTTTAGACATGTATTTGTGTAAAAATCTGCATGGGTATATTTGAAAGAATATAAGAAAAACCCTTAACACTGGCCATAGAGGCAGAAAGGTTGGCTTGGGTAGATTTCAGCTTAGGCTGCAAATGGAAAAAAATTGCAGAGTACAGATCTTCGTGAAGACGCAACAAAAGATGGTTACCACATGAATTTCATAAGTCAATAGCACTCAAATAGAAAAGCATCAAGAGATGTGCTTAACTGAGTCAGGCCAAGTCCTATGGAAGTTGTAAAAGTGAATGAGAACTGTATTATTTAGATCAGGGGTAGGCAACCTTGGCTCTTTTATGACTCGTGGACTCCAACTCCCAGAATTCCTGAGCTAGCCATGCTGGCTCAGGAATTCTGGAGTTGAAGTCCACAAGTCATAAAAGAGTCAAGGTTGCTACCCCTGACTTAGATCAATCACACAGAATGAATGACCATGCATGATGTATTTCCATCTCACTTCTTCTGGAACTCAGGCTTGAGTTAGCCAAATAACATTTGAGCTAGTGTGCGTGAGTGTGTGTGTAGAAAGATTTAAAAATGTTTTAGTTTTGTAAATGAATACTAGAAGTTCTAACTGAATTTATTTCTGGGTATTTTGAGTTTTTGGATAAAAAAGAGCTACAAGTAGCACAGAAGGTATTATAAACACTCTTCTTTATGATCCTTCATGTGATATTATCCAGCCCAGATGTGCAGTATCTATGTGTACAATACTTTCTGCTACATGTTAATGCAGTTTGTTTTGTTCTTGAGTGGTTGTCCCAGCACATATAAATGAGAAGGCCCTTTTGATAGGAAGTTAATTAAAATTGAGTTCATCGTAAATTACCCAGATTAGTGAAGAACACCTGGTCTCACTCTTCCTGGCTGTCAGATCTGAGTGCAGGAGTCAAATAAGAATTCGTACTTGAACATTCTTAATATATACACTAGGTTTGTCTATGGAGATTCTCAGTCATTCAGGTCATGGTTGTCCCAAAGGTGCTTTTTCAAGAGGCAACTGAACTTTTATTTTTCTTTGAAGATGTGTTGCTTCTCATCCAAGAAGCTTCTTCAGCTCTGACTGGATGGTGGCGAATGGAAAGATTTATATTCCTTGCAGACAGCTGGTCATTTGCATTCTTCTAGAGAGTCGTTGAGGTCATTTGGAGGTTTATCTGTGTCATCAGGGTCACCTGAGTAATGCAAATGGGTGTGGAACCTTCTGGGAACTACTGAAAGTACTATGTTGTAGACTGGAGATAGATGATGTCGTATCCCTCCCCCTCTGTTGAGAGAGGACTGTTCAATTTTGACATAAGTGGCCTCCTTGACCTCTTTCGCTGGTACTCTCCTTCGTGAAAATAGACACAGGATTCAATCTCTTATTTTAAACTTAAATAGATATCAGATATCATTCCACTATCTCAAAAAGTATACTACATTACAAGCAATCATGTTGAATGAGCCTAATGTTAAACCAAAGGTCTTATGTGAAATATAAACAAATTTGGTATTGAATCTTTATTCAGTGATGTCAGTCACAGAAATATGATCTGATTTGCTCCATGCATTCTTGGCTGTGTGTCGTCTAATAAAATACACTTTTGTAGAAATAACAGCAGTAACATGTATTGCCAGCTATTCTAATGCTGCACAACGCAACAGCATTCACAGTGAAGTTTAGTCAAATATTTTGTAATAGTTTAGACTGAGAATTCATGTATCTGCATTTTGTTGAAGAATATAATTTATATAAAAGTCTGAATGCATCTCAGTTTTTACATTCTCTACTTCTGTTTTAGCTCACAAGAAGGCTACAAGGGCATCCATACAGGTAAGCATAGATTACCCAAAATTCTGTCTGATAATAATAAATAAGGTGTATTGGGGGGGGGTTGGTTGTAGCAGGCACTTTTTAAAATATTGAGCTGGGTTATTCATTTGTAAACCACGTGGAATGGGGTGCTCTTTGTAGATTGTTTAATTTTGACTAGTACATAGTTCAAAGATGACTTGGAAAAAAATCCTTAGATTTTATGGAAGTGCAGCACTTGCTGTTCATTAAACCAGATTAATTTATAGACTTTTGCAGGAGCATGAAAAAAAGCATGCTGCTTTAAGAGTTGCATTTACTTTAAAAAGTGGACTTCTTAAGATGTAAATCTGTATTGGATTATATAATTGCAGATTAGAACTACAACATTAGCTTTATACCTGAGATTCTAAAAGGTTAAAAAAAAAGATAAAAGTTCATATAGTCCTATGTTGACATTCATCTGTTCTAGAAAAATAAGAGCGACTAATACTCTATTTTTTGCTATCTATGAACTGTATAGCTGATAAAAGTTATGCCCTGGATCCTTTATCTATAATAATATTAATCATTAATGTGTGAGAATGTATCTATATTTGTATCTTTATAGATGTTGTTTAAATTTATTATCTTGACATATGAAATATTTTTTTAAAAAATTCTGACTGTCTTTAATAAATGAAGGTCTTTGCTGTTATTTTCTAGTGCTTCACAAATGGTTCGATGGTTAAAACCTGTTCTAACAATGCATGCCTCCTACCTTTCAACGGTAAGTACTCTGATACACAGGGCTTTTTACCATTTTGGTTTCATCTAGTGATGCATGAAGGGAAGGTAATACCAGACTAATAAAGGAGAATATTTGTAGCTCAGGGTTGAAATGAAAAGTCCTTGGTGCTCTCTGAGCTTGGTTGTTTTTTTGCAGATGTTTCATGACCCAAACTAGGTAATATCAATTCTAACAATGATGATGTATCTTAGTTTGTGTAATGAAATGTCTGCAAGAAAACAACCAAGCTCAGATAGCACCAAGGACTCCTAATAATTTTCATGCCATCCAATCATGCTTATTAATGTGACGGTACTGCACAGGCTTGCTAAAGTAAAGGAGAATTGATTCAAATCTATTAGAAGGACCAAAAACAGAGGAGAGGAAATTAGATTTGATGAATTGCCTTTTACTCCTGAAGTCGTTGTATACATTTTCTCCCCCCTTCTTATGTTGAATTTATGTTTCTTGAATTCTCTTGTTTAAAGTGAATTCCTTTCACAGTTGTCATTGTATAACATATTTCACTCTTGTTCCAAAGTTCACTAACACTAAGTGAATTTCATGTTAAATGCATAATATGGCAGTGTAATTTTTACCTCTAAGATGAAAAAATTGACAGATTTGAAGTAGGATATGGGATAAGGTTTAGTTTAATTGCTCGGAGGACACATTAAAAAATTATGCAATAGGATAAGTGATTGCTAAACATGGCAGTTTTTAAGCAAGGGTTATATATAAATATAAATAAAATAACAAGACACTAGCCCATTAATGGAAGAAGTATGTAATAAAGTATTAGTAGAGGCCAAACTACCAAATACATGGATAGAAGCCAATATCATTTACCGTATATGCCGGCATATTAGGCGACCCGACGTATAAGACGACCCCCGTCTTTATAGCCGGGCCGCATTCCTAGAATGTCGTCTTATACGCCGGAAACTACCAGTATTTCTGGCGTATAAGACGACTCGGCGTATAAGACGACCCCCGTCTTTGGCGACGATTTCAGCGCTCGCGGAAGTCGTCTTATACGCCGGCATTTACGGTAGATTTCTTGGGATATATTTGCTACTGCCTCCTAAGTTTTTTTTTCTAGTCTATTTTAAAGGCTTGGGATCTCCTGGTGGTATTTCATCCAAGAATTATTTAGACTTAATTTTTCATAGCTGTGGAACATAGCAAGGTTGGCTAAGTGTTGCTCCCTGCTGTACCCCATAAAATAAAACTTCTAAATAAATTGCTTATGGCTTTGCCAAGTTTATACAGTTTATTCAGAGGATATTGGAGAACAATAATGATATCCTGAAGGACCATTTCTTCCCTGCAAATCTCTTGCCCAGCCAGCTGTTGATGTTGAACTTATCACGACCCATTAAAGGAGCCATACCTTTTAAGTGGGTGGAAAGCCAGAAGGTCAAAACCAGAAATCCTTCTTCTGATATTCTTCTCCCGGTTATGTTCTTTTACTTAAAAAAAAAAAAACAACCAAACATTTTACATCAAAAGCCACATCCACATGTGGAGAGAAAAAGATCAGCATAGAAACAATATACTGCAAAAATGTTTAAAAACATGTCTAGTAATCGTTGGAAATGTAGACAAAAGCCAAGCATGTACTATCACCTTTGGTGGACATGCCCTAAAGCAAAAAATTTTTGGTCAAAAATACACATGTGGTTACAGAAAATGTTAAGAAAACATATAGATAAAGCCAGAAATATTTTCTTCTAGGTATAATTACAGAGAACTATGACAAAAGTGTATATATTTAATATTACAAGTATTAGCAGCAGCAAGAATTACATTTGCACAGTATTGGAAAAATGAAGAAACACCATTGGAAGAAGACATAATTAGGAAAATTTTGGATTGTGCGGAAATGGACAGGCTTACATTGAAAATGAAAGGGAAAGAAAATACAGAATATTTTCAAAAATGGGATAATTTTTATAAATGGCTAGAAAAATGGAATAGGGAGTAGAAATGGAAGTTGTATTACTATTAATGTCAAATAAGTGAACCCAGACAACACGTTTATTAAGCACTAAAGGTTTGTAACTATAAAAACTTAATAAAATATCTTTAAGTAGTCTTTAAGCAATCTTAAGTAAGCAACCCTTAAGTAAGGGTTATATGAATAAACCTTCGGTATGTTTCATATAGAAATAGCCTAGGACTACATTTGCATATATCTTCATAGTTCTCTGGTGACTTTTCTCTTTTTTCTCTTTATCCCTATCACAGCTGCCAGATTTGGCCTCCCAGCTTGGAACATTATACGAGTTAATGGAAAGCAGAGTAAAAACTTTGCAAAAGCTGTCTCGCTTGCATGGCAAACTATATCTTATTATCACCCAAGTAAGTTAAAGTTGATAATCTTACTCCACAGAAAGAGTGTTGTTATGAACATAGAATGAAGAAGGTATGTTAGTAGCAACAATGAGATCTTCTATCAAATGTGGGAGGGTTTGCTGGTGTGCCAAAATTTATGACACAAAAAAACTGATGATTCCTTTCACAGTGATTTTGGGGAAATGAAACTACACACAATCTGTGCTGCTTAGCAGCCTTGCTTAGAAAACTTTTTGTGTATGATAATTTTCTATAGAGTAGTGCATAATTTTCAAATATAGAAGGTGATTCCCAACATTAAGAGTAGCTTCCCATTGACAATTTGAGGCTGCAGAAGAATTTCTGTGAGCTTGATAATTCAACAATTTTCATAAAAGATAAACCAGTTTTGGGAAAGAAAACATTTATGTTAAGACATCCAGGGAACTTCCAATCTTTAATTGAGGCCATTGCATCAAAAGCCTTTTTATTCTACTAGAGATTGCTATAATTTTGTTTCATTAGAGGAATTTTACAGATTTACTGAGCATACAGTGATGGAGGTGCACAAAATTTATTTGTCCTAATCTTCAGGGATCGGGTTATAATAAATGTAGAGTTACCTTCTTTTCAGGTGGATGCTGAAGGACAAGAACATATGTATTCATGTTCTCATAAGGCTACTTAATTATATATTTATTGATAGAAAGGCAGAACATAAATCTAATAAATAGAACAAGCCTGTAATGATATTTACTTGGAAAATAAATAGATTAAAACATTTTTATTTTCAATGGCCATGGTTCTGTGTAATTTAGTAGCAGCTGCTATTCTTCTTGATACCAAAATTGATTCATTTCAGCTCTTGGTAGTGAAATATAAAACTTGTAGTTTGTTACCGATGTAACAGAGTCCTATTAATGCAGAAACAATTTGACTTTTTGAGTAGAGAAACCATCTGTTAATGCCAGCAAAAAGCAATCACATTTAATCTTTGGGTTGGAGCTTCAGTTGTCTTTTTCTCTCTAGGTATCTTCCCGCTTGCGATGTGTACTTAGTTACCATCCTGAGCATAGAACAGCACTGGACAGAGTGTTTGCACCATCGCTTTCAGTTGCATCTAGATAAAAAGTTTTAGTTAGAGCCTATTTTGGTCCCATTTTGTATAGAAGATAATGTGGGTTCTAATCACAGACATTAAAAGGTTTAGGTAAAGTGGCATCATTAGTTTGTACTATGCTTTCATTACTTGCTACATATTAATAAGATATTTTGAGGGTTTTTTGGAAAGGTATGTTTGATACAATAGTGTGTAATAATATTTTTTGTCAAAATATAATACAAATGTTGCTTTTACAATGTTAGAATTTAAAAAGGGGCAGAATCAGGCATTACTAAATGTGTGAAAATGTAATTTTTTTAAAAAAATCATTTTATTTTATTGGAATTAAAACTTTTCATTATTTGACAAATTAACAATAGTGTATCATACATAGTTAATCGTATCTGTTTGATGTAATGTAATTTGAATTCAACACAAGCTATGTGTCCTAGCTACAATCTTTGTTGATTCCAAATACTCTTTTTCAGGTGGCTGCATTAGAACAGGTTCAGGATGTGCCTGATATTGATCAGACTGCAAAACTGGTATATGAAGAAGGTAAGCAAAAGAAATTTGGTACTAATCAATTTGGATCAGTTAGAAAATAAGATAGTATATCAATAAAGGAGAATATTTGTAGCTCAGAGTTATTTTCTAACAAACATTTCGTTACCCAAACCAGGTAAAATCAGCAGCACTGATGTAGCTAACCTTGCAGATGTTGTTGACTCTGAATTACAAGTAGTCCTTGCTTTTGACCACTTTGTTTAGCGAGAGTTTGAAGTTAACAATGGTTGGGGGTGGAAAGCAGTTTTGAGACCAACCTTCACATTTACAGTTATTTCAATGTCCCATAGTCACGTGATCACCATTTGGGCACAACTGGTGAGCGTTGATATTCATTGGAGTATGCCACCATCATGTGACCGCCATTTGCAAGCTTCACAATGAGATTCCAACAAGCAGAATTAATGGAGAACATGTGGAAATAAAATTGAAAGTCACGATCGTGTGATGTCTCGCCTGACAGCCACAGTGATGTGCTTCATGATGGTAGCAGAAGTGAGGTCATAATTCTAGTGTGGATACAGATGATTTTTCTAAGGAACACAGTACTTGATACCAGCCCCAGTTGTGATCAGTACCTATGCAGGCAATTCCTGCCTGGGTTAAGAATTGAATTCTGTTCCTGTCTTTTAACTCATTTGTATGCAAGTTGGAACTCACATGTAACAAATGGGCTGCCTATTGCTAAAATGGCAGGTGAAGTTCTCCTTCCTGAAGTTGATGAGCCTCTGAGGCCATGCAACGTTTTCATGAACTGCTTGGAACCTCTGAAGGCAGGCTGTGTATTAGAAAGGCATAGCTTCAGTTACCTATTTTGCCTTTTGTACCTGCAACAACATTTATAAAATTATGGGAAGATTCTTTGATTCATTGAAGCATATTGAACAGAAATTAGATGATGGGAAGTACCAGAGGGAATATTTAAAAATTAAACATTTGTTTGAATATGGTTAAAGAAATAGATTTTGAATATAAATGAAGATTAGTTTAAGAGGGATGAACCCCTCAAGTAATATAGTATGCTTTCTTTCTTTTTTTCTTTTGTGTTTGATTTTTTTGACATGAGAAATATAAAAATGTTGGGATGGTTTTTAAAAGAAAGGTTTTAAAGGTTTTTAAAGAAAGGTTTTCTCTGTTTTGTCTTTTTTTCCTCATTTTTCTTTAAGATACAAGAAATGTAAAAATGTGATGGCTTATATGAGAAAAAAAACTTAAATACTTAAGTGTAACTAATTTAGAGAAAATTTTAACCAGTAAGAATGTTTTGAATATTGTGGGGAAAACAAATTTAAATAAGAATGTAAACAGGATTTATGATGAGGCAATTAAGATGATCAGTTGAAAAGAAGCTTTATATTGATGTGGTTATTTGCAGAAACATGAGAAAAATGTTTATATTCAATTGTCATTTATTTAAATAAGAACTGTATTAATTTAAGGTTGGCAAAAGAGAATATTATTGGAAGAAGAAGAAATCCAGGGATCCATAAAAAAACATGGCATGCTTTTAGCGGTTTATCAACTCAAGGAAGGACAAGGATGTCTGCCACTTTTGGTAATAGGCAGTCCATCCATAAGTAGGATGTTCTAAATCCAGGACTGCCTGTATAAAAAATGAAGTTTGTAAGCCGAAAGCAAGAGAAACACAGATTCCTTACCTCATTTACTAAATAAAGGGCAGTTTTATAATGCTTAAACATTTAGTTAAAACTGTGGAAGCTTTATGGCTGGCTTCTTTTGGGTCAGTTGCTATTCTGCAGAAAGTATCTAGGGACATTTCTACTGTGTTTCCTCTGTGCTATCACCGTGCCCAAATTTACACTGTAACATACATGCCCTACTTCAGTGGATATTTGCACCGCCCAAGAGCTGCTCTATGAGGGAGATCGGCAATTTCTAAATATACGGTATATAAATTTTTAAAAATATATTTAAAGAAAATTATTTCATATGTTGAAAGGAATAGTGCTATACATTTATCTCAGAAAACAAAATGGGTTTGTTGGAATATATTTCTATTCTATCCCATTTTAATATTGCAAAGATTAAAAAAAGCCTGGGATAATCAGTCTTTTCAGGATCTTTGAGTTCATAAGGATATGACTTCTTATGAGTTACTCTATAAAAACAAGATATGGATACTCCTTACAACTATAGTTGGGGCTGGCAACTCTATTACTAAGCAACGTGGTCACTAATCAGACATCACATGATAACAACATGTTTTAATGCCAGCTTTGCCATTGACTCAGCTTGTCAGAAGCTGGTTGTGAAACTGATTGCAAAGGGCAGTTGTGACTGCGACATGCTGCAATAGTTGTAACTACCCATTGGATGGAAAGTGCCCAGATGTCAATCCTGTGATTGTAGGGACATTGCAAAGTCGTCAAAGTCAGGACTGATGGTGAAGTTACTTTTTCAGTGCCGTCATAATTGCAGACAGTTGCTAAATAGGGCAATTATTAAGCAAGGTCTACCTGTAGGTATACTTATGAGATGCACTCCTAAAAAACTTCTCAAACACATTTCAGTAGACAATGTTTTTATTTTCTTTAGTTACAAATATTGAACATTCATGTTTTTTATTGACAGAATCATCGGACGATGGTTCGGACGACGAGATGGTTGCAGAGAGAGATTCAGATGTAAGTAAAGTTCGGTGACTTTCTTTCCGTTCTTAAGAAGTTACACATGATTATGGTGAATGAATGTTTTGTTGTGCTCTCCTTCAGGAAAATTGGGATGAAGATGAAGAGAAGGAAGATGAGGAGAACAATGAGAGAGATGAACAGTCGGACAATGAGCAAGAGATGGCAATAGAAAAAGAAATCAATGGAGAGTCAGATTTGGATCCAGAAAATGAAAGTGAAGAAGAATAGCATACTGTTCAAAGAAAGAAAGCTTGTTGGAGCCGGCTACCAAAATGTGTCACTTCTGGATTGCCATGCTGGAAGCCACTTGGATCACAACAAGGAGTGCACATTTGATACCTAATATATCTGATGGCATATTGGAAAACTCTGTTTCCAAACCTGGAGTGCATAATGATGCCATCCTTCTTGTTCTTCAGTTCTATATTTCTAGGGATCACAGTGAAACAAATTTCTTCCACATAGCAAACAAATTATTTCTTTTATTTGGATATTCATTTTACAGCTCAAGTCTAGTAGCTTATCAATCCCCATTGGGTGATGATCCTGTTGCAGCTTTGCTTTAAATTCTGATGGATTGAAGACCACTCTATCTTCTTAAACTGCTTTAGTTAAATTTTTTGGAAGAAAATAAATATTTTTGTAAGACTCAAAAACATTACTTTGAATTTCTTGGTAGTTCTTCCTCTTTCCTCCACAACATCCATTCTCTCATAAGAGAATTATTTCATACCTTAGCAATGATACATTGCAAACCAGGTTTTAAGACTAAACTGACTTTTTTATATGTGTGTGTAAATCAGTCATTTTTCATGTACTTAAAAAAAGACTCGTGCTTAATCCTAATTTTTTGGTTTTTTGCGCTTGTATATAAGTTTACTGCTGACCCAGAGAGTTCTTTGGCGGAAGAAAAATAATGAAAATGGGGAGGGCAGAGACTTGTGAATAACGTTACACAAAAACTTATACATTTATTATGGATTTTTAATCTTGGGAAGAATGGGGTTGCTGTTAGCTCAATTAAACTGAAGTGATATAAACAATTCGGTAACGTTTTTGAGCCATTCACCAGTATAATGTACAGTTTAATTTGTCTATAATTGGAGCTGTTGCAACCTAATGTTGCTCTCCTTTGTAAAGTGAATAAATATACATTGTCTTTATCAAGTATTAGTCTGTGATATATGGAGTATAATGAAATGCATGTAACTGGAATTTTGTACTGAAGATGCAGCAGGCCCTTTTTTGCTACCATGAAGTGAGTTTGAAATAAGCTGTATAGTTTTTTAGAGCTACCTTGTTACATTGTAAAAATGGTCATCACTTACCAACAGTAATTGGAACCGGGAACCCCTTTGCTAAGTAACACAGTTGTAAGACTTGACTGTACCAACTTAGCAACAGCAGTTCTATTGCTATTGCCGTTGTTAGGTGAATCCCACATAGCTGCAGCATCTCACAGTCATTTGATGGCCATTTTTACCTTCGGCTAGGTTCCCATTGATTTTGCTGGTGGGAAGCCAGCTGTGAAGGTTGCAAATGCTGGTTATGTATCTGGGATGTTGTGACATAATTGTGAGCCAGTGGCCAAGCACCTGAATTGCAGTCACATGACCAAGGGGGCGTTGCAGCAGCTGCAACTTTGAGGACCTGTTGTAAGTATCCCTTGTTCAGCCCCATCATGACTTTGGTTGCTGAACAAGTGGACAATAAACAAAGACTACTTGTATTTTGTTCTTTTGCTGCAACTTGCATTTCTTCATATTGTTTGAGCTGCAACATGGATTGGATGGGTTCCCATATAGTGCAAAGCGAAACCAAAGAACTGCAAATATAGTTTTGACTGAATAAGGCAGAGATGCTTTCCAAATATATCAGCATGGCTGGCTGAGGACCTCTGGGAGTTGAAGTCCACAAGTATTAAAGTTGCCAAGTTTGGACACCCCTGAGATATATCATAAAAACTTCCATGTCAAGCCGTCTTATAGCACTGCAGTGGTATTTTTAAACAGAACGATTTCCCCCCAATATCCTACATTATTCATTCCTTGCCATTCAAACTGGGAAGATTGTAGTCCAAGAGCTTCAAATGGTTTGAAAATTTTGTTAATGTTTATTATAGCACAAAACAATGAAAATAAAGATTTAAAAAGGGGAGATCAACAAAAAAAGATGAAAAAGCGGGAAAGTAGAAAAGTGTTGATTTCTGACTAACACAGTAAAGTACTACATTACCGATAATTACTAGGAGCCAGTTGTATATCTACACAATTATTAAATTCTGAATATCATTTTTTTTCTATTTCAAGCATGAAAACTAGAAACAATATCCCAACAGAAACAAAATAAAAGTATCTTTGTTTAAAACAGTTTACATTGCATTCCTAACCAAATCTATTTTTTATTTTTTTCCCATTATGTGAAGTGATATATAGTATATTTCTATTTACATTTACTAATCTTTCTAAACTATATTAACAAAAATCATTATACTCTTTCAAATTTAACCTTATAATTTTTTTATTCATTTTAAAACTAATACTTCATCTTTATAACTAAAATAAATTCTAATGCATTTTTTAAGTGTCCTTTTAACATACTTTCAAATTCACTTTCAATAATATTTTGCAAACTAGGAATTACTAAAGTGTTTTATTCTCTTTGTGTATGAAACCCATTTTCAAATCCACTTTATAAGCACAAAACAATCCATTGGAATTCTCTTAATTACATCTGACAAACCAATAGAAAATCTCTCCTAGCTCCAATTATCATACTAAATAAAATTTTTTGCTCCTTCAGAATGTCTCAAATAAATATAAACTTTGTGTCAAGAGATTCTCCAATATGATTTTTAAAACATGTTAATTTCAATTTTGAAGTGGAGATCCCAAACCTGTACTCTTAAGAATTATAGATTTACTGCAATTTTCTTTGAATTGCAGTGAGGCACTTGTAATTAAACCATCTTCATAGTAGGCACTATTGGAGTCAGATTTTTATTCCAAAATTACAGTTACATCCTTTGCAGGATCAAGTACTTGTGAAATAGTCTCAGTAGTTTGATAAATTTCTGCAGTTAGTTGCATCTCTGGATCACTCATCTTTCTTCCCATTACTTGGGTAATTTGTTCCTCTTGCTCTTTCTTTCATGACTTCTTTGGAATATAGTTGAAGTGAATTCTTTTGTTTAAACACTCCTCCAAAATAATTTTTTTGCAGTCTGTCTGGTTTATGTTGCTTTATGCTTTAACTCCCTCTTGTGATCAAAATATAAATCATTTGTTTTTGTTTTTTTAAAAAAATTGTTTATGGGTAAGCTGGCATCTCCTGGTCGTCAAAATCCATTAAGATCAGAAGATTTCAGCCTCCCAAAACAAACAATCCAAAAACACAAATTATAATATCCAAGGTCAAATAAATTCATGAAAATGAAAGAAAAAAGTGCTCCACGCTTTCTTATTTTAGCTCACCTCTGGCAAACCTCTTCATCCTTCAACAATAATGTCCCCAAAATAGCACTACACTTCAAAAAGAGTAACAGGCTGTGATCGAAAAGACACTTTTAGCTTAGGAAATATAATAAATACAGGTAGTCCTCGACTTAGCAACCACAATTGAGCCCAACATTTCTGTTGCTTTTTGCCCCATTTTATGACTTTTCTTGCCACATTTGGTAAATGAATAACTGCAGTTGTTAAGCTAATAACACAGATGTTAACTGAATACAGCTTCCCCATTGACTTTGCTTATCAGAAGGTTGCAAAAGGGGATCACATGACCCCGGGACTCTGCAACCATCATAAATATCCGTCAGTTGCCAAGCGCCTGAATTTTGATCATGTGAGCACGGGGATATTGCAACGGTCATAATTGTGAAAAACAATCATAAGTCATCTCTTTCAGTGCCGTTGTAACTTTGAACGGTCACTAAATGAACTGTTGTAAGTCAAGGATTGCCTGTAAAGCGTTTAGGAAATGAAAGGCACAACTTATTGTTGGTTTGAAAAATAAATGTATGCTTTTTTAACACCTCCCCATCTTATGAATGGGGAGGTGTTAAAAAAGCCTGGGAAAGATTGAGGGCAATAGAAAAAGGGGACGACAGAGAATGAAGTGGCTGAATGGAGTCACTGAAGCAGTAGGCATGAACTTAAATGGATTCCAGAAGATGGTAGAGGACAGGAAGGCCTGGAGGAACATTATCCATGGAGTCGTGATGGGTCGGACACGACTTCGCAATTAACAACAACAATATCTTATGAATGAGTGCTTCTGGCTGCTTCTGAGTGTTGCTTCAGAGTCTCCTTGCAAAGGAGGATCTTGAGCGATTCTGGGTCTCTCCCTAACTCAGGAGAGTCATACAAGCTTAGGGAATTCAGTTTCTTTGTTTGCACATTTATAAGACACAAATCTAATCCAAGCAGGTGACAGTACTACTGAGTTGACTTTGGTAGATGATGAAAATTTCAGGAGGGTCCAATTTAGTTAGTATTTAATTGGTAAATACTAATTTATTTCTACGAAGATTCTCAGTCATCCAGGTCATGGTTGTCCCAAAGGTGCTTTTTCAAGAGGCAACTGGACTTTCTTGTGTTTCTTTTGAAGACGTTTCGCTTCTCATCCAAGAAGCTTCTTCAGCTCTGACTAGATAGTGGGGAGTGGAAGGATTTATATTGCTTGCAGACAGATGGTCATTTGCATTCTTTTTAGGGAGTCGTTGGGGCCACTTGGAGGCTTATCTGTGTCCTCAGGGTCACCTGAATAGTGCAAATGTGTGTGCAGCCTTCTTGGCTGCAGGATGTTTTCTGCCCTGTGTCCCTTGAAGACAGGCACAGGCTGTTGTGGTTGAGTCTGTGTTGTCTGCATCTCAAACTGAAGCTCAAATGGTTCCTGTAGTCTGCAATGTGTTCTGGAAATCCGTTCATCCTCCCTCACCATTCGAAGGGTGTTCATCCCAAATGCATCGCTAAATGTCTATGGAGATTCTCAGTCATCCAGGTCATGGTTGTCCCAAAGAGGCTTTTTCAGGAGGCAACTGGACTTTCTTGTTTTTCTTTGAAAATGTTAATTTAGTTAGTATTTGGATGGGAGACTACATGAATTCCCAAGATGATTAACTAGAATGAAATGTTTAAACATGATGACAATGACCAACCATTTCTGATTGCTGTAATAAAAATTACATGGATGTGTTCTGTGGTAGGTAAGAGTTGAACTTAAGAAAATTTTTATCAAAAAACCCCCCACCTAGGATGAAATATAATAATTTGCATTCAGAAATTGTCACAGATTCACATCCAGCATTGTATTGTATCCATAAATTTAATAAGAAGGTAATGGGAGAAAATATTTGGTTGTATTCTTACATTTGTATAATGTATCTTGCTTTCTAATGCATGTATATGATATATAAATCTGTTTACTTCAAATACATTATGACACATCATTTTGTGTGGTTTTCCTTTCGGGATGTGTTTTTCCACTTGTTGACTTTTGGGGAATTAGTTTTTAACATCCAGGTTGGTTGATGTCCAATGGGTGCTCTAAAATCTTAGTAATACATTAGAAATATAATTCTAAAAATGGCCATTGGGTGTCATATATGTGCTGCAGAATAATAGTAAATAATTTGCAAATAATAACAAGGTGCCGGTAACATGATGTACATTTGAACTGGTTCTTGCAATATTAATATTCTGTTTTATATTACTGCTTCTTGATTGCTTTCAGAATACATGAGAGGTCCTGATACTGCTCTAAGTCAAATCACAAGTGGTACCTGATCAACTTAAAATGTTGACCTGTTAATATTGCCATCACTGTGGGAAGAATTTTACATTTAAGAGCATTACGGTCCAAATATTTGAACGGTGTGTGTTCCATGGGGAAAAGCAAAAGAAAACAATATTCATCTATAAACAGAATGGAAACATTGTTTTCAATTCACCTTTTCTTTATTGGTTTACAATACATGTTCCATAACAGGATTTTAAATTTAGCTCTTTCTCTAAGGGCCAGAATACTGCCTTTCTCCCCAGAGAGTACCCCTAGCTTAACAAGATTTATAGTTTCAGAGTCTGGTATATTCAAAACCGAAAGAACTAGCTTCTCCATGAGTTCCTGCTTGCATACAAAAAACAAGATCATGATTTGGGCACAGCAGT